ATCAAGCACTAAGAATAGTCGAGCGTTGCTGTCCTACCGACAGCTCTTGTTTGTGTTATTGCCCTTTGTTGATTTTCAAATTTCATTTTTGTCCTGGCCATTTCTCCTAAACTTTATTGTTTACAAGGCGACACATCCGACTCACGGAGTTCTAATTTTTTAATATATATATTTTTCTTATAATGTTTGATATTTTTGAGACCTTCTATTTTCTCATATCATGATCTGCAGCTTTAAAAAACAATTATTTTAGCTTTGAAAAATCGATTTTTGATGATTTATTTTATTGCATCATCCCATAGAGTCTTAGTATTGTCTTGTAATATTTGTTGAATGCTGTTTTATTACTTAGTCATTTTAGAATGAAAGAATGTTTCCTTTCAAGTATTGTGAAAACTATTTCTAATGCATGAAATGAGCCACGACAAAACCAACATCCGCATCCGAGCAGTTTGGTCAGGATCCATGCTGTTCGCTGTCAGTTTCTGCACTTGTTATAGAGTGGGTAAGCGAACAGCATGGATCCTGATCAGACTATGCGGATGCGCAGGCTGGTCTGGATCCATGCTGGTCGCAAACCCATGATGTTGGTTTTGTCGTGACGCGGCTCAAATGTTAACCTTTCTTGTTAACCTTTCTTAAGACAATATGAGAAATTTTGATTTTTCATTGCTGCCCAGCCTTTATGTTTATTTAGTTCAATTAGTTTTTCTTGTCAGTGTTGCATGAAATTCTTCATTATAAGCCTTACAAGATTGAAATTGTATTCAATAGCGGATTATAGGCCTTACCTACTATGAAACATTTTTAACAGTCCATTAGTAACTTATTGCATTATGCAATATGAAAATTATGAATACACTGTAGCCTCGATAACTCGCTCTTCACTATAACGCTAATCTCAGAAGAGCGCTCATAGACCTTGGCTCCCAAAAAAAAGAAAAAAAAAACTTCCCCAAAAAAAAAAAAATTTTTTTTTTTAAGTAGACTTAGATTTATAGCGCGCTATAACGCTTGCTCAATTTGATAGCCAAGTACAATAAACAATTGTTATTAGGACATTTATGATCACCAAAGGTGTGAAAAACATGCCCAGGTAAGCGTTTATCCGCTCTTTTGTTGTTTTACCTGTCCATCAGTCATGCATCAAATTGTTTCCAAAATCTCAAATTCACATCATAACTGTTACATTGGCATTCGGTGGTGAGTATAAATAAACTAAAATTCACACACATATCTTTGACATGTAAATCTCGCTGAATTAAATAACCCACAAGCCCAAAATCAATTTAAAATCCTGCACTGTAAATAGAGCGGCCATGACAGGTGGTAATTGGCGTTTGATTTACTAGGGGACACAACTAAAGCTGGACTGTAAATTACAGTGTCATTTACAGTCCAGCTTTAGTTGTGTCCCCTAGTTAATAAAACGTCATTACAGTAATGGCTACCTGTTTTACACTACATTCATGATTTATAATTTTCTTTCGAAAGTTTTTCCTTTCTTTTAAATATAATTAGTATTATTTGTGAATATAATATATGTTTACATCATTGAATGGTTTTAGAAAAAGATAATGTCGATATTCATTGAACAGTAAGTAAAAAAATCAGCGTTAAATATATATGCAGTGGGTGGGGTAATGCGGTAATTTCGCAATGAGCGTTCTAATGAGAGCCTCGTTAGAACGCGGTGTTGAGACATTGGACCCCAACATGAGCGTTTTAATGAGGCTGAAGTGTACCAAAATTTGAGCAGCTAACTGGCCGTGCTTGATACTGGTAATATTTTTCATATAACTAAGGAGTGTCAGCTATACAGATCACAATAGAACATTAAAACCTGTTGTTTTTTTAGCTCACCTGTCACAAAGTGACAGGGTGAGCTTTTGTGATCGCTTTTCGTCCGTCGTCCGTCCGTCCGTCGTCCGTCCGTCTGTCCGAGCAAACATTTGATATTTATGAGCTTCATTCCGTAGTTAAATAAAGAACAAAAGCTCATAAAATTCAATTAAGAGCTATTTTTTTAGCTCACCTGAGCTTGCTCAGGGTGAGCTTTTAGGATCGGTGAATGTCCGTCGTCCGTCGTCCGTCCGGCCGTCCACAATTACTTGTGAACACTCTAGCGGTCGCATTTTTGCCTCAATCATCATCAAACTTGGTCAGGATGCTTATCTAGTTGAAAGCTCGGATGAGTTCGAACATGGGTCATCTCGGATGAAAAACTAGGTCACAAGAGCTAAAAATAGAAAAACCTTGTGAACACTCTAGAGGTCACATTTTTGACCCAATCATCATCAAACTTGGTCAGGATGTTTGTCTAGGTGATAACTTGGATGAGTTCGAACATGGGTCATCTCGGATGAAAAAGAAGGTCACAGGAGCTATAAATAGAAAAACCTTGTGAACACTCTAGTGGTCACATTTTTGAACCAATCATCATCAAACTTGGTCAGAATGCTTGTCTAGTCAATTGCTTGGATGAGTTCGAACATGGGTCATCTCTGATGAAAAACTAGGTCACAGGAGCTAAAAATAGAAAAACCTTGTGAACACTCTAGTGGTCACATTTTTGACCCAATCATCATCAAACTTTGTCAGGATGCTTGTTTAGATAATAGCTCGGATGAGTTCGAATATGGGTCATCTCATATGAAAAACTAGGTCACCGGAGCTATAAATAGAAAAACCTTGTGAACACTCTAGTGGTCACATTTTTGCATCAATCATCATCAAACTTGGTCAGGATGCTTATCTAGTTGATAGCTTGGATGAGTTCGAACATGGGTCATCTCGGGTGAAAAAGTAGGTCACCAGAGCTAAAAATAGAAAAACCTTGTTAACACTTTAGAGTGTTCACATTTTTAACTCATTTATCATCAAATTTGTTCAGGATGCTTGCCTAGGTAATTTCTCGGATGAATTTGAACATGAGTCATCTCAGATGAAAAACTATGTCACAGGAGCTAAAAATCGAAAAACCTTGTAGACACTCTAGTGGTCACAATTTTGACTCAATTGTCATCAAACTTGGTCAGGAAACTTGTCTAGGTCATTGCTGGGAATAAATCGAACATGGGACATTTCGGATGAAAAACTAGGTCACAGGAGCTAAAAATAGAAAAAATCTTGTTAACACTCTAGTGGCTACTGTTGTGATCCAAATATTCTGTTAATTGGTCTGAAAGTTTGTTTTGATGATTTCTAAATCAAGATCGAACATGGGTCATCTTGGATGAAAAACTAGGTCACACCGCCCAAATATGGAAAAACCTTGTTAACATTCTAGTGGTCACATTTTCGACTCAATTATCATCAAACTTGGTCAGGATGTTTGTCTAGGTAATTGCTTGGATGAGTTCGAAATCGCATGTGAAACTAGGTCACCGGAGCTAAAAATAGAAAAATCTTGTTAACACTCTAGTTGCTACTGTTTTGATCCAAGTATCCTGGAAATTGGTCTGAAAGTTTGTTTTGATGATTTCTAGGTCAAGTTTGAATATGTGTCACCTGGGTAAAAAACTAGGTCGCACTGCTCAAATATGGATAATCCTTGTTAACACTGTAGTGGTCACATTTTTGACTCACCTGTCATGAGACTTGGTCAGAATGCTTGTCTAGGTAATTGTTTGGATGAGTTTGATAATTCAGGTGAGCGATCTAGGGCCATCATGGCCCTCTTGTTTATTTTAGGAGCTGAATTTGCTTATGGACTTTTGTCCAGGTGTAGTTTATGAGCTGATTTACCTCTTAAATATCAAAAGTTGGTACGTCCGTCCGTCCGTCCGTCCGTAAACTTTTACTTTAAATGACATCTCCTCATAAACCACTAAGCCAATTTCATCCAAACTTCACAGGAATGTTCCTTTGGTGGTCACCTTTAAAAATTGTTCAAAGAATTTAATTCCATGCAGAACTTTGGTTGCCATGGCAACCAAAAGAAAAAACTTTAAATATCTTCTTTTAAAAAACCCAAAGAGCTAGAGCTTAGATATTTGGCATGGAACATCCTCTAGTGAGTGTCTACCAAGTTTGTTCAAATAAAAGCCCTGGGGTCAAAATTGGCCCCGCCCCAGGGGGTCATTGATTTTCCCTATATGCATATTGTAAACATTTAAAAAATCTTCTTTTAAAAAACTCAAAGAGCTAGAGCTAAGATATTTAGCATGAAACATGTTCTAATGGATGTCTACCAAGTTTGTTCAAATAAAAGCCCTGGGGTCAAAATTGGCTCCGCCCCGGGGGTCATTGATTTTCCTTATATATGTATAGCAAAAGCTTAAAAATCTTCTTTGAAAAAACCAAAATAGCTAGAGTTTATATATTAAGCATGAATAATCTTCTAGAGAGTGTCTACAAAGTTTGTTCAAATAAAAGCCCTGGGGTCAAAATTGGCCCCGCCCCGGGGGTCATTGATTTTCCTTATATATGTATAGCAAAAACTTAAAAAATCTTCTTTGAAAGAACCCAAAAAGCTAGAGCTAGGATATTAAGCATGAAACATCTTCTAGTAAGTGTCTACAAAGTTTGTTCAAATAAAAGCCCTGGGGTCAAAACTGGCCCCGCCCAATGGGTGTCATTCTTTTTAACTATATGTGTATAGTAAAAACTTAAAAAATCTTTTTTAAAAAACCCAAATGAGCTAGAGCTTAGATGTTTAGCATGAAATATCTTCTGATGGGTGTCTACCAAGTTTGTTCAAATAAAAGCCCTTGGGTTAAAATTGGCCCTGGGGAGGGGGGGGGGGAGGAGTGGAGAGAGAAAGGGGGAAGGTCATTATTTTTCTTTATATGTGTGTAGTAAAAACTTAACATCATGAAACATCTTCTGACGGGTGTCTTCGAAGTTTGTTCAAATAAAATCCCTGGGGTTTAAACTGTCCCCACTCTGGGGGCCTATATACAGGTGAGCGACCTCAGGGCCATCATGGCCCTCTTGTTTTTCATTAATGGCAATTTTGCATATTGTTTTATAATTATGTTGTTTTCTTTTTTTTTCAGAAATCTGGTGTATATATAAGGTCAGAGTACATGTACACAATGAAAGATGTCTGGTCTAAAATACAAGCTGTTGTAGGTGTTTCTAAATCATACAATATGATATATAATTTTGTACTAATCAATTCGATCATTTATTCTTTTGTATGTCCGACAATTATTTTATAAGCTTAGTTAAATCATATTTCTATATGCTTGATTGCGAAACAACTTCTTACAACTTACATTGATCACTTTCAAGACTGCTTCCTGGAGGTAACCAGTACTGGTTTCATGTTCTGAAACATGTTTTTGACCCCCAGTAGGGCTCAAACCCATGATCCCTGGCTTGAGAGGTAGATACAGCCATCTGACCACCTCTCTCTCTCTGTCCTTGTTGAAAATATTCTGATGAGGAAAATGAATTAAAAAATTTACGACCAGCTTTCATGGAATGATTTGCACCTATCGTACTGTAAAACATCCTGATTTATCACACACCCGTGCCATTTTTGCGACTCTGTAAATATGGTATTACACAGTCCTGCATATATTTTGACGTGACGTCATTAGCGTTATACAAACATAGTGTAAAGACGCGCTAAATGTTAGCGTTATACTATAGACGCGTCAATGAAATATGACTCTTATTTCACCTTAAACAGTCTTTATTTTTGGTATGTGATGAATATAATATTAAATTCGTGTAAGTCCATTATTGAATTTATTGCCAGAGGCTAGAGCTGTCATTGATTCAGTGTAAAGCATATCAACGATATATCGATATCAAGTAACTAAAATCAAGGATACACCGATATATCGATAATATCCTATACTCACTTGTCTGTCATTCATTTTCATACCTGTTTCAATGATTTCAGTCAAAAACATGTTCTGTACAGTGTCTTGTCCACTGCTTGATTTTTTCTAGACAATATTATTTGTCACCATTGCTATAAAATAATTCCACTATATAACAAAAGCATCACATTTGGTATAAATAATTGTTTCTGCATATATTTTGGGTGAATTGTATAATTTCTAGACATTTAATTTATAAGTCAAAAGTATCGATTTTTTAAAATGTGTATCGATTATTGATCGACAAAAAATATCAACGATACATCGATATTGTCGATATCGATGACAGCTCTACCAGAGGCTGGCATAATATAATTTTATTCAACTCGTGCAATAAATTCAGTATTGGACTTACACTCATTCAATATCCTCTATTTATTGAATGATTCGATTACATTGTATTTCATATTTTCTAGAAATAAGATAACATTTTTGTTTCCAAAGAATTAATTTCTTGCTAGTTTGAATATTTTTATTCTATTTCTACAGTTACAACTGTTACTGAGCGAGTATTTGGATGTGAGGAATACAGAGAAATCTCGACAACAAGCACCCAGTAGTTTTGATGAGCCCAATATGGATATAGGTGTATACTTTGCAAAGAAAAGACCCCACAAACAGAAAAAGGTAAACCTTGTTTTTGTTATTTCAAAAGTCTAAAAAGTTGAAAAATAAACACCAAAATGATATGATGTTATTGCTTTTTTTTTACAGAATATGTTTCATTTTAGAAGTTAGCTTGTAGCATTTGCTTGATATATTTGAAGAATACTTGGAAATAAAATTGATATTATTCAGGAACAAATTCCAAAAATAAATGATGCAATTAGAGTTGTAGATTCCCATACATAGAATATATCCCACTGGGTTTTCATTGACTTAAGTTTATACAACTTTATTTTTGTCAGTTTTAAATTGTGTTCTGCATTGAAGAGTTCCTGAATACTGTTGAACTGTTATACTTCTAAACAGATGTAAAATAGTTAACACTTTAGTCAAAACTGAATGGCGTCAAGATGTGTTATTCTCTAGGAAATTGTTGTCAAGGCATTAATGTAAATTTTTATGTGTGGATGAAACGTAATACCTGTTTTGTTTCAGATGTCATTGTTCAGGTTTGATGCATCAATTCATGCCCTCAGTACAAACAGTTACGTAGAAGATACTCGTCAGTTTGATGTAAGTTTGCCGTATATACTTTATTCATATACCAGTTTTCATTTCATCCATGTCTTATTATAGCAGTTAAAAAGAAACAAACTTGTCCATATAAGTTATGAAAATTTTTTATTACTTTTGTTGAAAATGTGTCTTGTTATACATGTTTCATAGTTTTTTTTTTTAAAGATTTAGCATTTATTGTCTTAACATCCTTTAATAAAATAATTCAAAAACTAAATCTGCAGGCCTCGACATTAGCGGTGGTCCGTTGGTCCGAGACCACCTGATTTTGGCAAGGACCACCTAATCTCAAAAGCCGCTGGTCCGTCGGACCACTTGAATTTTCTGGTTGGTGCAGACTCATTTGGGAGAATGGTGATTTGGTCAAAAACATGTTATAAACATTTTCTTTAAAATCATTTGTCCGATGTACATGTATATGGTTCATTAATTATCTGATTAGTTAAAGAAGTTCTTAAGTCATCTATAACTTTCATTTTAAGTCGCTAAAATTTGGTTTATGCAAGTTAAAAGAGTTTAGACTTTGTGATATCAATTAAGGTACAAAATTCATTCAAATGATGCTAATAATTATGCATCGTCGGATACCTACGGTGGAACCAGTAACATTTATGTTATATTACGTGTTAATTAACCGTGGGCATCCGACGGTGGTAATTATGATATTGTATGGGATATAAGATAAACTTAAAATTTCATATACTTAAATAATGGCAGCAAACAAAAGGAACTGGAAAAATACTAAGAGGATATTTTTTCGTTTGAGTGAAATATGGAATATATTTTCACGAAACATGATAAAATGCCACATATTTTCACGAGCCGGGACGGCGAGTGAAAATATGTGGCATTTTATCATGTTGAGTGAAAATATATACCATATTTCACGAAAAACGAAAAAATAACCTTTTTATTTAATTTCAATATCAAAGAAAAATGGTTACGAACCCCCTTGCTTGCTACGCAACTGCAATTGTACAGCGCGCAGTAATATAATTATTGTCTTGTTTTGCACGTGATATTTAGCGCTACATTGTGACGTCACGTAAACAACTCTTTAAACGTCTGTACAGCGTTAATGACTGAATTAAAGATATTGGTGTTCGGATTTATTTTCTTAGTTAGACCGTTTTCTATCATTCTAGATAGTTTTCAAAACAAAATTCGACAAAAATTTGTTTTGAATTTTCAGATTTTTCAAACAAAATGGCGAAAGAAGTCCCGTAAAATAAATATGAGTTATGACTCCTCCCACTTTCATATTTATATTTCATATTTATTTTTAAAAAATATGAAATATATTTGACTGAAATAGCACCATATTTCATGGGTAAAATTAAATAAATCTAGTAATTCTTTGCTACTTATCTTTATTTTAACTGTTTAACGATAGAGATCCATTTCCTCTAGAGTTAAAATTACTTTAAAAGGTTAAAAATACTCAATGACATGTTAAAAATAAATATCAACCAACAAGCAACAGGGAGGTAAAAAATAGGTATTATACATCTGTGAGAAAAATAAGCTTAACTGTAGTTATATATAACATTAGTTTTATTTTTTTTATCCCCTAGCTATTTCCTTGTTTTAAGATAATTTATTAGTTTTATTAAAAATGTTAATCTATAAAAGATACATGTAATTATCATAATTAAAGAACATAAATAAGAGCCCTGTTGTGTATTTTTGAATGACATATAAAAATCCAAATAACTTTATGATAAAATACCTACTAACTTGCTCTCCTTTATTTCTGATTAGATAAAAATATATATCTAAAATATCTGTTTTCTTAAGGTTAATGATACATCTTTGTCATCAATTTTAAACATATTTTTACTAATTTTGCAGTAAAATGACATAATAATAATTGACCACCTGACTCCTGGAAGGACCACCTTAATTTCAAATCTAGTGGTCCGGCTAACCACCTGCTAAAAAAGTTAGTGTCGAGGCCTGATCTGGTTTACAATTTTACAGAGTGCATTGTTTGAAACTGGATCTGTACATGTTGACTCACCAAAACATGTGTTTGTATGTAAACCTTCAGTTGATAATATTAAAGGTAAGGTGTTTATGTGTAAACCGTCAGTTGATAATATTAAAGGTAAGGTGTTTGTGTGTAAACCGTCAGGTGATAATATTAAAGGTAAGGTGTTTGTGTGTAAACCTTCAGTTGATAATATTAAAGGTAAGCTGTTTATGTGTAAACCGTCAGTTGATAATATTAAAGGTAAGGTGTTTGTGTGTAAACCTTCAGTCGATAATATTAAAGGTAATGTGTTTGCGTGTAAACCTTCAGTTGATAATATTAAAGGTATGGTGTTTGTGTATAAGCCTTAAGTTGATAATATTAAAGGTAAGCTGTTTGTGTGTATACCTTCAGTCGATAATATCAAAGGTAAGGTGTTTGCGTGTAAACCTTCAGTCGATAATATTAAAGGTAAGGTGTTTGTGTGTAAACCTTCAGTCGATAATATTAAAGGTAAGGTGTTTGTGTGTAAACCTTCAGTCGATTATATTAAAGGTAAGGTGTTTGTGTGTAAACCTTCAGTCGATAATATTAAAGGTAAGGTATTTGTGTTTAAACCTTCAGTTGATAATATTAAAGGTAAGGTGTTTGTGTGTAAACCTTCAGTCGATAATATTAAAGGTATGGTGTTTGTGTGTAAACCTTCAGTTGATAATATTAAAGGTAAGGTGTTTGTGTATAAGCCTTAAGTTGATAATATTAAAGGTAAGCTGTTTGTGTGTAAACCTTCAGTCGATAATATCAAAGGTAAGGTGTTTGCGTGTAAACCTTCAGTCGATAATATCAAAGGTAAAGGTGTTTGCGTGTAAACCTTCAGTCGATAATATTAAAGGTAAGGTGTTTGCGTGTAAACCTTCAGTCGATAATATTAAAGGTAAGGTGTTTGCGTGTAAACCTTCAGTCGATAATATTAAAGGTAAGGTGTTTGCGTGTAAACCTTCAGTCGATAATATTAAAGGTAAGGTGTTTGCGTGTAAACCTTCAGTCGATAATATTAAAGGTAAGGTGTTTGCGTGTAAACCTTCAGTCGATAATATTTAAGGTAATGTGTTTGCGTGTAAACCTTCAGTCGATAATATTAAAGGTAAGGTGTTTGTGTGTAAACCTTCAGTCGATAATATTAAAGGTAAGGTGTTTGCGTGTAAACCTTCAGTCGATAATATTAAAGGTAAGGTGTTTGTGTGTAAACCTTCAGTCGATAATATTAAAGGTAAGGTGTTTGTGTGTAAACATGGTTCGCACGGGCCTTGAAAAGTCCTTGAATTTGGTTTCAACCTTGAAAAGTCCTTGAATTCAGGGTTGCCTTGAAAAAACACTAAAATTGTCCTTGAATTTCAGTAAAGCCCCTTGAATTTCGGTAAAATGCCTTGAAAATCCAAAAGGGTATAAAACCTGTCGCTGTAAAGGTCAGGCAAATTTTCTGCTACAAATCGGACATGTGAACGATGGCAGCCCGATCGAGTGCGCCCATTTGGATCTGTTTTAGTAGTGTTTAGCCAGCGTTACGGTTTTGGCACGGATTTTAACAAGCACTTGTGTATGACGTCATCGCAAATTGTGTACAAAATGTCAGCTTCCATTGCAAAGTAAAAAAATGGGAAAATACACTAAGAAATGTACGTTTCAGCTCAAATGGCTTCAACAATACAGTTGGGTAAAACAAGTTATACAAGACCCACGAAAAGCACAATGTACCATGTGTCTGAAAACCATCGATTTGTCGCAAATGGGAGAGAGTGCATTAACATCGCATGCGAGGGGTGCAAAGCACCTAAAAAATCTAGACATCAAGTCGTCATTGACGAAGTGTGGCCTTGCATTTGTCAGACAGGAAGGAACTATAAATGTCAAAACTGAAAATTGCAGTAGATCTGATTCAAATAATAACATTGTGCCATCCCAATCCACAACGGAAACTGTGCATGACATGACAATACCACCCCCACCCACTTCTAGTAATCAAGAAAATGTCCCCTGTGTGTCCAGTAATCAAGCAGGAATATCTCCGTTCATTTCAAAGGCTGATACAAAAAAGGCTGAAGTTATGTGGACATTACACACAATTTGTAATCACCACTCATACAATTCAAACACTGATATTGAGAAACTGTTCAAGGCCATGTTTCCGGATAGTCAGATTGCCAAAACATTCACATGTGGAGAACGTAAAACTGCATACCTTACAGTTCAAAGAAAAGAAACTGGAAGTTGAGGAAATTGGAAGAGAAATCCAAAAAAGAAAGGAAAAACTAGATAGAGTTGTGTGAATTTACTCAATCACCTATATGTTACAGTTTTGGTGTTCATATATTCTACTGACTGTGCTGATTTTCTAAATATAGTCACTGTTTTGCAATTCTAGTCATTTGAACCTTAAATTGAAATACACATGTTTTATTTACATGTTTTATATCACAGATATGGTTGTAAAAGTATAATTTTAAATAAGATCAATTGCAATAAAAATGTATATCACAGATATGGTTGTAAAAGTATAATTATGTCTCCCCCACCTCGGGGGGAGACATATTGTTTTTGCCCTGTCCGTCCGTCAGTCCGTCCGTCCGTCCGTCCGTCCGTCAGTCCGTCAGTCCGTCCATTCTTCGTTTCCGGACGATAACTAGAGTTCCTTTTGACCTACAGCTCTGAAACTTCATAGGATGAATGGTCTTATTGAGCAGATGATCCCTATTGTTTTTGGGGTCAGTAGTTCAAAGGTCAAGGTCACAGTGACCGTTGGTCAATTTCTCGTTTCCGGATGATAACTAGAGTTCCTTTTGACCTACAGCCCTCAAACTTCATAGGATGATTGGTCTTATAGAGCTGATGATCCCTATTGTTTTTGGGGTCAGTAGGTCAAAGGTCAAGGTCACACTGACCGTTGGTCAATTTCTCGTTTCCGGATGATAACTAGAGTTCCTTTAGACCTACAGACCTCAAACTTCATAGGATGATTGGTCTTATTGAGCAGATGATCCCTATTGTTTTTGGGGTCAGTAGTTCAAAGGTCAAGGTCACAGTGACCGTTGGTCAATTTCTCGTTTCCGGATGATAACTAGAGTTCCTTTTGACCTACAGCCCTCAAACTTCATAGGATGATTGGTCTTATAGAGCAGATGATCCCTATTGTTTTTGGGGTCAGTAGGTCAAAGGTCAAGGTCACAGTGACCGTTGGTCAATTTCTCATTTCCGGATGATAACTAGAGTTCCTTTTGACCTACAACCCTCAAACTTCATAGGATGATTGGTCTTATTAATCAAATGATCCCTATTGTTTAATGGTCAGTAGGTCAAAGGTCAAGGTCACAGCGACCGTTGGTTAATTTTCCTTTCCGGATGATAACTAGAGTTCCTTTAGACCTACAACCCTCAAACTTCATAGGATGATTGGTCTTATTGAGCAGATGATCCCTCTTGTTTATGGGGTCAGTAGGTCAAAGGTTAAGGTCACAGTGACCATTGGTCATTTTCTCATTTCCGGATGATAACTAGAGTTCTTAACCTTAACAATAGAAACCATCCATAGACAGCCTTCATTGAAGTGACTACCGGGTATTTACATTATCTTATCTCCATTTCCATTCCTGTTTCCATTCACAGTTATTCTCAGCAGTGGGGGAGACATGCGCTTTTTTACAAAAGCATCCTCTAGTTTTAAATAAGATCAATCGGGAAAAAAATGCCTTGAAAATGACAATTTTACCTTGAAAAGTCCTTGAAAAGTCCTTGAATTTTGATTTGAGAATTTGGTATGAACCATGGTAAACCTTCAGTTGATAATATTAAAGGTAAGGTGTTTGTGTGTAAAACTTCAGTTGATAATATTAAAGGTAAGGTGTTTGTGTGTAAACTTTCAGTTGATAATATTAAAGGTAAGGTGTTTGTGTGTAAACCTTCAGTTGATAATATTAAAGGTATGGTGTTTGTGTGTAAACCTTCAGTTGATAATATTAAAGGTAAGGTGTTTGTGTGTAAACCTTCAGTTGATAATATTAAAGGTATGGTGTTTGTGTGTAAACCTTCAGTTGATAATATTAAAGGTATGATGTTTGTGTGTAAACCTTCAGTTGATAATATTAAAGGTAAGGTGTTTGTGTGTAAACCTTCAGTTGATGATATTAAAGGCAAAGTGTTTGTGTATAAACCTTCAGTTGATAATATTAAAGGTATGTAGTGAAATATTTTGACATGTTATTATATTGAATGATGGAGTTTTGTCACTGCAAAAAACATTGTTTGGAAAGTTTGGCTAATAGAAGGTATACAGAAATAATTTTGATCACTCATGAGGGGTGCCAATGTTTGACTTTTGAAACAGATTACAGGGAAAATGTCCTCCTAGGGAGGGGCAATTGTCTTTTGGGCAATTGTCCGTCGAGGCAAATGTTTGTTTTTCAAAGGAAATGATTTCATTAAGATGGGAAATAATCTTTAAAGTGTAAGCAGAACTATTTCAATTTCTATGTGAAAAAGAAATGGTATCATTTTATAACCAAAATTATTTCAATTTGTAATTTTTTTCTGTATGGTAAAATGTATTTTATAATTTACATTGTTTAAATAAATGTCATAATACACTTAAAGTGGAATGGTCTATAATGAGCACATTTTTGATAAGTATTTCAAGTATTTATAAAAACAAAAGAACTATCTCATTTTGATATTCATATAAAGTATCTCTTGAGAGAAAAAAATGTTAATACAGTTTTGAAAGATTTAGTATAAACATTTATTAATGAATATTGCTTTGTGTTTTTTTATTTGAAAAGTACTTTTAATTTCTTTTCCAGCTGTATTCAAACCATTACAGTTATTTATCAAAGAGATTGAAAGTGCTTCAGAACTTCCACAAGGGTAAGGATAGGATTTTTATCATATTAAGTATTTCTTTAAGAATATTTTTACCAATTCTGGAGAAAACTATTAAGAAATAATTATCACAAGATCGTAAAAAAACATAAGCATGTTAATAATCAGATTAGTCCAGAAAAGTTCTTAGATAAAAAATTATCACAACCTGTGGAAGAATTATTACCAATTTTGGGGGGAAAAACTTTTGAAAGTACATGTATAGCCACAAATTTGGGGAAAAATCCATTGGAAGCATTAGCTCTACATTTCTTTTGCTTGGGAAAACTGTTGTCTTTGAATGTTGAAATCCTTGACTGTATAAACTGGGATGTAAATAGTTCATTGGATTTGTGTTTCTTTGATTTTCAAATAGTCTATCTGCAGTTTAGCAGATGACAAGCGATTATCATAATTCTAAAATAAGCAGTAAACAATAATTATAAGAGTCTAGTCAGATTGGCAGATGTTTGAACTGCCATGACTCATGCCATGCCATACTTGTGGCACATAGGTTTGTTTTAACAATTACAGCAGGCACATAACCTTTAGCTTGCTGAATTTCTTTAAATGGACTTGTCTAGCTTCCATTTTTGGAAATGTCTAAATGTCTATTATCATTATTTGGGATATCAAGATGAAAATTTAATGTTAAAGTCTGGAAAAAAGTGTGATTCTTTGAAGCATTAATCACAACAAAATTACATGAAAATTGCACACTGTTTGATTGAATCTGTACATGAGGGATAATGAAAAAAGTGCAACATCCACCCCCAGCACCTGCTTTGGGGCAAACTTAATTTTCAAAAACTTAAAAATTTTTAGAAAAAAAAAGATCACAGTACTTTCCCCCAATATACAGCCTGGCCTGGGGACTTTTACTTGTTTTTCTATGGTTACTGGGAAGCTAAGGGCAAAGTTTTAAAATGACATTGTTTTTAAAATTTCAGAACATCAAAATTTGATGAGTTTGTGACAGATTTTATAGAAAAGATATATTTGGGGCATATACATTTTGTTGTATCGAACAATATAAATCTTGCAACAAAAGGTAAGCCTGTTTTGTGAGCCTTTTTTTTTTTTTAGAAATATGAAATATGAAATGTAGTGGGGTGGGGGGCACATCTATGTCCAATTTACACATTTCTAGTTTCTCTTTTGTGAAAACAGCATTTATTTGATGATAAGCAAAGAGTGCAGGCCTAAAACACTCAATTTAAAGCAAGGTCAGGAAAACAGGATTCCTGTGAAAATTAATAAACTATTACCCAATTAAAGACACTTATATTATTTGGTTAATAAATCACTGATATTGACAATTTGCTGCTGTCTTCCATTTGTTTGTTTTTTGGGGCAATGCTTAAAGTGGGCAACTTTGCATTTACTAAATCCAGTCATCAAAAATGCCTGTCCTTAGAACTTTTTTGAATAAATAATAAGAAAAACTCTTTATTCGCTCTTAAATTATTTTTTGTATGTCAAATTACATATAATCTAATATATTTGACCAAACAAAATATTGTAATATTTATATGTTGATAATTATGTCTTTGTATAGTGGATGAGGAGGAGGGGAGTAAGTGACCTTGTTACCATGGCAACGTGAAATATTGTTTTCAAATGCTTGCAGTATTGGGGGAAATTTCATTTTTTCCCAAATAAACCTAATAAAACAACTCAGTATTTCCCAGTCTGTTTAATCAGTGGTAAAGATACAGTTAAATGTAAATAAGATAAGGGGTGGACCACATTGGGGATGGGACGGTGGGGGGGGGGGGGATGGAAAAAAAGTTTTATAATTGGAATTGGATAAGTCTTTCATGCACAGCACATATTTTATATGTTTAAAACTACCCTTTTGCTTAAAATTCAAAACTTAACAAGGTACAAAAAATCAGTTTAAAAGAATAGTGACTGTTACAAATTATGAAGCTGCAAGCATTTGATTAAATATATTTTGTTTGGAATGTCTTTCTATTGTGAATACTTGAAAGTGAAGCAAGAGCAAATGCATTTTAATGTTTTGAATTGACCTTTTATTTGTTTTTCTTTCATTTATCAGTTTTTGCTTATTTTATTTATTTTTTGTTATTTCGATGATTGCACATAGAGCAAAATTGTATGATGAGAATTTTTTTGCTCTGTCAGCGTTTGTAGAAATAAGGGCATGTATTGTGTCCAGTTTGGCTCTAATTGGACACCTTGTAACCTTGGCAAGCCATCATACCTTAATATGCCATTTTTTCTGCACAAGAGCTTTTATTAGCTCACCAGAGCCGAAGGCTCAGGGTGAGCTATTAGTATCAAAGGGGGATACCCCGGCGTCCGCGTCCGTCGTCCGTCGTCATGCGTCAACAATCGTCTTCTTCTCTGAAACCGCTGGACAGATTTACTTCAAATTTGGTCTGTAGCATCCTTGTGACAGTCACACTTGAATTTGCTCATGCCATTTCAATTGGCCCCTTTTAGGGGTCAACAGAGTTAAAAATAGAAAAACCTTTAAACATCTTCTTCTACAGAACTAATTGATCGATGATCAATTGGCCCCTTTTTGGGGTCTCTAGGGCTAAAAATAGAAAAAACCTTTAGACATCTTCTTCTACAGAACTAATGGATGGATGATCACCAAACTTTGTATGTATCATTCTTGGGTAGTCTTTTATCAAGATTGCTCATATCAATTTGATTGGCCCCTTTTAGGGGCTGCTAAAGCTAAAAATAGAAGTTACTTTAAACATCTATATCTAGAGAACTAATTGATGGGGATGATCACCAAACTTTGTCTGTAGCACTTCTTGGGTAGTCTTTTATAAATTTGCTCATATTAATTGATTGGCTCCTTTTAGGGTCTCTAGACCTAAAAATAGCAAATCATTTAACATTTCTTCTACAGAACCAATTGATGGATGATCACCAAACTTTGTCTGTAGCATTCTGGGTAGTCTTTTATCAAATTTGCTCATATTAATTTGATAGGCCCCTTTTAGGGGTCAAGGGAGCTAAAAATGATATAAACCATTTAGACAGCTTTTTCTACTGAATTATTGATGGATGATCACCAAACTTTGTTATTAGCATTCTTATAGTAATCTCTCTTATAAAAAATTTTGCTCATATTTATTTGATTGGCCCCTTTTAGGGACTGCTAAAGCTAAGATACCCCCAGACCATGGCATTTCTTCAAATTATAGTTTAATGAAAGGGAAACAACTCATGCTGGAATTTCTTTCATACAAGTGAATGACCTGTGTTTGCTGATGAAATTATTTGAGGTCATGACCTCTTATGAAATAACTTAAGCACATTATACAAGATATATAAGAACTAAGTATCAAGCTTTATTTGGTTTCATTCATATTCACTTAATTACATCAATTCATGTTTTCTCTAGAGAGCGTTTTCTGCGTTTTTGAGACAGTACCTTTGCATTTGATGCGGTAATATTATAGCTGTGTGTTTTCAGTGACGCATATTTTTGCGAGCGTCATAGTATATATTTTTTCTATAAATAGCATGAATTTCATCAGCTGATCGGTCACATGATTTATCTTAGACGCTTTAGTGATTATTACATGTTAAAAGCGCTCAGGCGCTTCAGATTGTGACATCATTATCCGGGTAAATTCACAAATTGTCTGCTTCGAAAAAAAAGCAGCATTCTTCAATAAAGACAATGTTAACGTTGATGGAGCGACAGAATCTACCGTAAACAACTCTGCGCCTATATCAAATGAGGTTTCCCAACCAAATCAATCGGCGAATGCTGAAACAACTGAGAAATCCAAGCAAAAAATGATAATGCTCCAAAGTGATTTTTTCGTAAGGAATTTTTAACCAGGTTTTCCGAAGGAAAAAACTGGTTATTAGATTGAGGTATGTCGGCGGGCGGGCGTAAACAATTTCTTCTGTGCGCAACTCCTCCTACATTTCTCAACGGATTTTGACCAAACTTTCACAGAAGCTTTGTCATCAAGTGCCCTGGCGCATATTGTAGGGGTTTTGGGATTAGATAATATTTGACCTAATTATGGCCGCTTTGTTTTTTTTCCTTATATAGAATATATAGTGAACAATGTCTTATGTGCGCAACACCTCCTACATTTCTCAATGGATTTTGACCAAACTTTCTCAGAAGCTTTGTCATCAAGTGCCCTGGCGCATATTGTCAGGGTTTTGCAATTGGTATATAATTGACCTAATTATGGCCCTTTGTTTTTTTCCTTATATAGAATATATAGTGAACAATTTCTTCTGTGCGCAACTCCTCCTACATTTCTCAACAGATTTTGACCAAACTTTCAGAGAAGCTTGCTCCTCAAGTGCCCTGGCGCATATTGTCGGGGTTTTGTGATTGGATAATATTTTACCTAATTATGGCCCTTTGTTTATTTTCCTTATATAGAATATATAGTGAACAATTTCTTCTGTGCGCAACTCCTCCTACATTTCTCAACGGATTTTGACCAAACTTTCTCAGAAGCTGTGTTATCAAGTGCCTGGCACATATTGTCGGGGTTTTGTGATTGGATAATATTTGACCAAATTATGGCCCTTTGTATATTTTTTCCTTATACAGAATATATAGTGAACAATTTCTACAGTGCGCAACTTTTCCTACATTTCTCAACGGATTTTGACCAAACTTTCACAGAAGCTTTGTCATCAAGTGCCCTGGCGCATATTGTCAGGGTTTTGTGATTGGATAATATTTGACCTAATTATGGCCCTTTGTTTTTTTCCTTATACAGAATTGAACAAATTCTTCTGTGCTGAACTCTTCCTACAGTTCTCAATGGATTTTGTTCAAACTTTCACAGAAGCTTTGTCATCAAGTGCCCTGGCACATATTGTCGGGGTTTTGTGATTGGATAATTTTTTACCTAATTATGGCCCTTTGTTTTTTTTCCTTATACAGAATATAATTATATAGTGAACACTTCTTCTGTGCGCAATTCCTCCTACATTATTCTTGTTTTACATTGCACATAGTTACATTGTTTGTTGCTTGTATTTGTTTTTCAAATACAACATATTTATCTACAATGGTGATAATTGAAAACCTGGTTTCATGGCATTGCCATGTTTCTTGTTGGTTATTAAAATGACTTGCACAGTTTGTATTACTGAAAATAAAGACAAATCATTCACATTGGGATGCACAAATTTTTTAGTTTTTTAGTACCGTATGGTACTGGTTACGGGAGTTGACGGAAAATCGGAACTAGTGTGTTAAGCTTGACAGACGCTACCAAAGCTCCATAATTTTACCGATTGGGCACATATTTGCCCTCAAATAAAAAAGTTTGTTGTCCCTACTGTAAACACCTTACATATTTTGCATGTGACATTTTGTGTGTTCATTTACAAAAGTTATAAAGAAAAAATGTTCATCAAAATTAACCCTGCTGTAGTGGTCATTTATCAGGTCTAGTATTTCATGATATTTATGGACTGTCCGTAAATTTATAGATAGTCTGGGACATTATCTTATTTTATCCCAGGGATAGTCTAGAAATTTAAAGATTTTTCAATCCATAAATTTACAAAATCTATATTCAATGTGAAATTTGCTGTTTTTAATTTTACACTAAAAATCCGCAGCTTCTGACTAGAGTCAGTGTACCCGATGGTTACACTTTTTTAAGGGAAAAATAAGAAAAATTATCTTATAGTTAAAAATTCTTCTTATAATAGATATTATTTTGGAAAATTACATCCTTTGCCCATAAAAACTGATTACCGAAACATTTTCTATCTTAAGTAGGTTCATACTTCTAGGTGCACTTGATTTTAAGCAAAGGAATGGGCCAAAATATAATAAATAGTGGACTCGGTTCCACACACAAGGCCATTTTTATACTGAAAGGTTATTTTACATCTTAAAACATGTTTTATAATTATTTAACATCTGTAAGTCCAGATAAGGTTGGTTTTTTTTGCAAATTTTCAGGACTTCAAATAAATTTAATGCACATTCTTACTACAGTATACAAACATTTATTTCCAAGAAGAAGTAGCACACAGGAAACATGTAACAGCAATGGAAACATACTTTTTTACAAACATGTAGGTAGCAAGCATAGACAAAAAATTATGATTGAAAGTTTTTTCATCTATTTAGTTTTATGATTTGTTCGAATTAAGAGTTTGGTTTTGATTTTAAACAAAAGAATCAAGGTGAAATGACTTGACGTTTGATAGTTGGGAGAAGTTCATTCAAATATAAATAGAAATTAGCATGGTTTAATTGCTGAATAAGATGTTTTTATGTGTGACCTACACAGCCACGTACATGTATTTACATTTTTGTCTGCACTCTCCAGGGAGAGGCTAGGGGGAAGGGGGGCAAGATCCCAGATTATGTCATATCCTGTTGAAAACATGCCAATTCAGTGAAACACAAAATTAATGAAAACTGAATAAATTCATTTGAATTTTCAAGAAAAAATGAAAAATGGGAAAGTGTACGGGACAGGGTCCTATGCGGAACCGGGTACACTGACTCTAGTTTTTTTTATTGATTGTTTATATTTACAAAGGTAATGTGGTTGAGTTTCATCTTTGTATGAATGATTTTGAAATATTTAATAAAAGTGAAAATTGAAAGGTCCCTCATATTGTTTTGAATCTCACCATACTATTACATTTAATCATATAGTATGTAACCTTATTAATTTTAACCTGTGGTTTTGAATTTTAATGCAGCTTCTACTATTTTCTTACTTAATGTCTGTAAATTTACAGATACAAAAATCTGTAAAATTATGGCTCGTCTAAAAATTTACAGACTGTCCGTAAATATCATGAAATCCTAGACCTGTTTATTCTGCATTATTTTATTCTACATAGTCTCATGGGAACACACTTGCAACATAAATATATCTAACAAAGCCTCCAAAATATTAGGGCAAAATATTTCAATAATTAGAAGGGCAAGTAAAAGTTGAGGTGGACTGGTCTTTCAGCAAGTTCTTTGAAAAATAACACTGACAAACAGTTGTTTCTGGTGGGCGACTCAGGGCCATCATGGCCCTCTTGTTTTGATGTATTGAAATATGACCTTGATTTCAACATGACCTTGACCTTTACAGACAAATTTTAAAATTCAGGACATTTTTTGCCATATTTATTTTTTTAAATTTTTAAATCTGCACAAAATATATTTAGAAATAGCAATATACATTCATAGGGCATTTTTATCATCTTTATTGAGATAGCATCAAATCCAAGGGCCGCTGGTTTGATCCTTTGGCGGGGCGTAATTTCTATGTGACAAATGATTTCAATCATTGTGATTAATGGTCTTTCATGTCTGTCACCACTATGTCAGAAATAATGTGTGATAAGTATTAATTTTAACAGGTTGCTTTCAATGCCCTATTATACAATTAGACATACATGTATGTTTTTAAGCTTTACCTATGACAGTTATGGGGCGTCCGTGGCAGAGTGGTTTAGGTCGTTGACTTCAAACCACTTGCCCCTCACCGCTGTGGGTTCGAATCCCGACAGGGATTTGGATTCTTTCATGTGAAGAAGCTATCCAGCTAGCATACAGAACGTCTGTGGTTCTACTCAGGTGCCCGTTAGCGCCTGAAATAATGCACAGAGGGGCACCTGAAAGCTGGAATGTCGCGATATGACCTATACTGTGTCGATGTGACGTAAAACCCAATGAAACAAACAAAACCTAAGACAGTTGCGACAAAACATGGATAATAAATGGCAGTAACAATAGGGGTTTTGTTTGTTTTTGTTTTGTTATGTTTGTATTTTATTTACAGCACCAATTCGTCGGGAATCGTTCTTTGATTTGTTGGCAGACACTAACACGTCTGCGGAAATCCTTCAGCCAGGTTTCTTCACCGACACAATTTTGTTTCAAATACATCACCATTCATAATAATGTTTGATATCTCTCACCGTATAATCTCATCCAATGGTTGAGTTTTCCCCATGTATCAAATCTTCTATTGTAAATATGATTGAAAAAAAAAATCAAAGTCTACATGTTGATCTGACAGATAGGTTAGTGGCTTGAAATAAATCCTTCGACAGCATGACTGGATCCCAGCTTTTCATTATGATTCGATCCCAGCTATCAATTATGATTGGAACCAAGCTTTTCATAATCTGGTTCCCTGTCCTGTTGTGGTTCCCATCCAAGACTTTTAGAAGTACGCAGGGAACCAGTCTTAGCTTTTCATTATGGTTTGATTCCGGCTTTCAGCCAGTGTTTAACAGATTTTATATCGGTAAACATTGAGCTTTTATGAACTGACTAAAATGAAAAGTCTAGGCCAGTCAGAGCTACTGCTGTGCATAAATTTAAGATTTAAGTATAGTGCTAGAGATTATAATAAATTATCACCATGAGATTTGTCCAAATTCATTAGCACAGTGTGTAGTGCAAGGGCTGGTTTTGTTGAGTGAAAATTTTTGATGTTTGTAGATATATAATACAAGAAGCGGAAATAATGCTTGAAGGGGAACTTGAAGTCTTCCTATACCATTATAGCTAAAAAAAATTGCTATTTGACCATTTAGGTATTGGTTTGAAACAAACAAAAAGTAGATGTACATGATGATGTGAAGTAAATAGGTTTTCTCTGACATATTAAAGAAAAGTTGACAATATGTACATTCATTTAATAGCTTGAAAAACTAGACTGCTTAGACCATCACCTTAATGCAGTAAAGGGTTAACTTCTATTTAATTAGCTTGAGTTGCAAGTAAAAATAAAGTATTTAATTAATTAAAGGGGAGTTGTATCTGAAAAGAAGTGTACAAGCTTGAAGGATACTGAAATATGATTACTGAGTCTAAAATGTCTTTGCATAACTCCTAAAGTTAGTCATGATGACCATCTGGCTAAAGGGTTGCCTCTGATAGTTGATGCATAAGAATTTCAGCCACCGGTTAGCCCTGTGTGTAAGAGGCAACATAAGAGATTTGAATATCTGGTGTATGAGCATCTCTTAGCTCAAGAACTTGTGAGGTGGTTTTGACCCATCTGATGTTGCTTTGAAGTTTGTAACACCCAAAGGTTAGCCAAATTCATCTTTCCTGTTTCAGCGCCATACGACTTATACTGTGTTAAACCAAACAAACAAACAGAAGTCATGATGTGTTTAGTTTAAACATGATATATACTTGCTCTACTCTGATATGAATCAATCTTGAGTCTGCTTCCAGGAACTACCTTAAATACTGGTTCTGAGGTTGTAAAACATTTTTCTGAGTTCTGTCTCAAATCTCAGGATTTTCATTGGTCAGTGTACATTTTGTGGGAATTTCTGACCAATTAGATACCTGAGATCAGAGCTTGAGCTTAGAGATTTTCTTTATAACGTCAGACCCTGGTCTTATACAAGGAAACATGATTGTGGCCTCTGTATAACTCACAGCCAATATGTCAGACCCAGTAGGATTTGAAGTCAAGGTTCCTAAGTTGAGAGATAGACACCTTAAGCACTTGGCCACTCGCTGGCTCCCCTTCATATCTCTTTAAGAAATGAGTTTCAATTAATAGTCATTGCCCTGGTGTCACATTAATAGATACATGAATGTTCTGAATCGGATAAATTTATGTGATTCTGAGGATGATAATTTGCTCAAGGTATTCTAAATTATACCTGTACAGCATGTATGCTTTTATTCCTATTTTTGGACATGCTTAGAAGACCTCTATAGCAGAATAAAACAAGACATTTTTACATCTTGAGGAATGATTTCCTATTCAGATGCTGTCATACAACTTAGGTTATGCATGAATTCTTGCAATACTATTACCGTATTTCTCAAATTCTCGTCTGCATGTGTATTTTGTGTCACGATTGAATATTGTATAAATTTTCACTTTGAATGTCACATTTGTATGCTTTTTTCAGTGAATTTTTTAGCTGCATATTGTACCGTATGCTTTGTTTTCACATTTGAAATTTTATAACGTATATTTGTTTTTTTCCAAATCAGTAGTTTTAAGTTTTTTTCTGTATACATGTACCATCTCAGTCTGTATTATTGACTCATCTTAATAATGTTTTCAACGTATTTCGAATTTTTGTAAAGTGTAGTCATTCGTGTAGAACTAAAATGTCTTTGACTCCGTACACAAACATTACAATGTTTATGTTATATTTGTCTACTTCACAAAAAAAGAATTCATTTCATTATTGAATTGAATTTCATTATTGAAACCCAATGCAGACGCATTGGAAACTTTAAGTATATCAATACAGCATTGTTTGTGATAACTCTATGCTAAAAAGTATTCAATATATTGATTATTTTCTTATGAGACCAGTCTGAATATGAAGTGTTCTTATTGGTTGATTTTGAAACCAGTCTGCATTTGAAGTGTTCTTATTGGTTGATTTCAAAACTGATTGAAAATATCAGCCAATGAGATGCTGGATTTCACAGACTGGTCTCAATCATGTCTATAACTGTAAAACCATGATCAATGTACAACTTAGCCTAGATAGTGTCAAATATAATATGTATTGGAAGTCTAGAATTTATTTATTACCAAGCACTTCATATATTTTGGACTTCTTTCTATAAGCAATAAATAGTATGCTTTTAATTTCTCATAACAACATGTACTGGTATATAATATTATGTATATAATGTAGACTATTGGAGTAGGTTAAGATCATGATGGACATAATTGTCATAGGGTTGGATGTCATAAGAAATCTTGTCAAATAGAAATATATTGACTTTGTATTGGCAAGATTTATTTATATATGTGAGAAAGCTTCTTATCAAGATATAGTCTAACCATGTGTTTTTTTTTCAGGTTTTGATGCACTAAGGAATGTCATAGACCATAAAACACAGAAGGAGCTTGGTGTTCCAAGACCATTGCTACAGGTATCTTGACTTGTTCAGTGTGATATTCTACAATTTCATTGAATAAGAAAAGTAAAGGGTCTAAAATTAATCATTTTGAATTTGATTTGATATAGAAAGAATTAAGCAGATTTCTATATCATATATGGTACTTAAAAATGAATATGCAGGTGAAGCATTGCTTTACAAATTTTTTATTTTTTTCCCAGGTGAGCACTAAAGACACCTCAGTACACTCTTGTTTGTAATTTCCTTTGCTCATCTTCAGCCAGTGTGTGTTATCTTAATTTGTTTTAAAACTTATTTTCAGCGCACATTAAAGACTCGGAAATAAATATATTTTGCTTTCTGTTGAAAGACTAAACATTTGTTTTATAATGTAAAAATAGCATTGAATTTGAGATAATGTGAGATAAAGGTAGCAAAATGTTAATAAAGCCTTATTTTGGCTTTTCATACACAATACTGAATCACTATACTTGTAACTGTTCTAATTGTCAAAATGTGAAGGAAACATAAGATGGCTTATCTATATGGCCAATAAATGTAACATTTTTGGAAACTGTAACAGGACATTAAGAATATAAAGCTTTACCATATTTGAAAAGAACTGTGGCCAGCAAGCACCCTATTGGAGGAGAAACTCTATGGGAAGAAGTCCATATTTGAACCTTAATAGGCCTTTAAAAGATTGTAACCGGTATCATGCTTTTAAAGAGATTAAAGAGATATATGAGCCGCGTCACGACAAAACCAACATAATGGATTTGCGACCAGCATGGATCCAGACCAGCCTGCTAATCCGCGCAGTCTGATCAGGATCCATGCTGTTCCCTATCAGTTTCTCTACTTGTTATAGGTTTTGTAAGTGAACAGCATGGATCCTGATCAGACTGCGCGGATGTGCAGGCTGGTCTGGATCCATGCTGGTCGCTAACCCATTATGTTGGTTTTGTTGTGATGCGGCTCATATGTCATTTTGTCATTTATATCAATTCCAGAGTACTGTAACAGTGGATAAAAGTGTATTAGATTTGAAGGAGTTAATGACAGATTTACCCGACTATGCGGACCAGTTCCTGAACATGATTTGTAACGTACTGCGAGGGTATAGAGATACCTGTCACTCTGCTTATAGAGGTCAGTACTGAAAAAATTTAGCCACTCACTTGAGACACTATTTATTATTTCCTTAAACACTTATTTTAGATATACCCAATGTATTTGTACAATGATTAAAGATATTTATAATTAATTTTTTAAAAAAATCCCTTTGCTTGCTTGCGGTCAATGATTCTACTTGTGTGACCAGTGCTTGCCAAGATCATCCACTACATACATATTATTTAACACAGTGCAAAATAATCTTTTAAGAAATGATGCAAAATAATCTTTCAAGAAATGATGCAAAATAATCTTTAAAGAATGTAATTTTAAATGATATTAACCTACTCACTGTGTCTTGAAAGAAGTGCATTCCAGTGTAAGTCTAATAGTATACTAATTTTCTGTCCCTAAAGGGGACTTTCTCATTGCAGTCAGGCATACCACAGTGATTTGGATCTATATGTTAATTTTGAGACTTACAGTAATAATGATTTGATATGAAAGTTATGCTGAGAGTACAAGTATTGAGTTCAAGGTTATTAAAGCCAAAAAAAATCCTTCTATTCCTCATAGGTATGTCATGCCTTTATTATTGTCAGATTGCCATTGCGGAACATGTACCAGTGTTACTGATTATCATGTTTCTAATCTTATTAGGTATAGTACAGTATGATGCAGATGAGAAGAGAGTTATCAGTGCCATGTGGGCCAAGGACGAGGACATCAGTAGATTCTTGAGGTATTTACTAATTGTTCATCCTGTTGTTTGACAAGTGTTGTTTCTTCTTGTTTACTTTCTCAATGTTTCATATGAGCTTTTGCATGATGTGACAATACTGTTTTTTCATCTTATACAAAACCAAACAAATATTGTCTGTTACATCTTGTTACATGTTCTTCCAAGACTTACATAAAAGAATGTACTCTTGAAAAACTGACCAAGAGCTCTTTGTTGGCTTTCCAATTAAGATGTCTGTTACAAATTCTATTAAAAAGTTAGAATAGTTACAATACTTTTGATTAAGTGATTCAACTCTCTATGACGGAGTTGTTCAGGTTTTTGACTTCATGTGACTTGTCCCTTATCCCTGTTGACTGAAATCTCTCTGGGAACTTTCTTTGTAGAGAGCTATTCTGATGGCTTTACAAAAGCCAGAAGTTGTACTAATTTGCCTAAAATAGTTTACACAGAGGCTCGTGAGATCTTACTCAACTTGTGAAGCTTTTATGTTGATTTATGACTTTATAAGTGTAGTTACATACACAGCAACCATAAGTATAAAAACAACAAAAACACAGGTCTTGATGGCATACTTAATGCTATGTAATTATATTGCCTGGTCTTTGTAGGTCATTGCCAAGTTGGAGAACCCTGCAGCCCACCGATGGTCATGAACTGAATAGAACAGTATGTTCGGAGGAGGAGATGCGAGCCTTGAACTCTAAGGAGGCAGTCATCCTAATAACCAACCTGTCATCAGAGGAGGCTTTCATTCCACAGCATGAGATAATCACAGATGTCACTCAGATGAGAACTGTAGCTAATGTTCATGAAAGTTTGGTAATAAACTTAAACTTCTCGTATAAAACTTTTAACTTTATGTGGTGTGGGTAATGATGAAGTATGTGTTTTGTTTCTGTATCTCCATTACGCGTTGGGCTATACTGGAATCACTTTGTTGTGTCTGTCAGTTGTTTAGTAAGTTTCCAAATTTTGTGTCTGCTCTATTAATCCTATACCCCTTGAATGTTTTTTTTTCAAATTCAAATATTCACCTGAACAAAGGGAACACATGGCTCCCTTGTGCTGGCACAAGGTCCTGATCAAACTTGAAGGTTAAGTGTCAGATATTTTGTGTCCGGTCTATAAATGTGATATCCCTTGAAGGATTTTAATTTCACAAAGAATGCTCACCTCAACATAGTGATGTGCAGACTCCTTATCATTGGTGTCCCTGCACAAGATCAAGGTCACCGTTGAAAGCAGCAAGCCTCCAGAAATAATGCTTATTTTCATGAAAATTTTGAAAATGACATTAAATGTATATTATTGTATAGTAACCAAAAGGAATCAATTTACACAATATCAATATATAAATAACACATGGGTTTGTGGGTAACAGTAAAAATATCATCCTGAGGAAAATACAGTATTTTTACGAGGGATGATATTTTTAGCTCACCTGTCACAAAGTGACAGGGTGAGCTTTTGTGATCGCTTTTCATCCGGCGTCCGTCCGTCCGTAAACTTTTACTTTAAATGACATCTCCTCATAAACCACTAAGCCAATTTCATCCAAACTTCACAGGAATGTTCCTTTGGTGGTAACCTTTAAAAATTGTTCAAAGAATTTAATTCCAAGCAGAACTCTGGTTGCCATGGCAACCGAAAGAAAAAACTTTAAATATCTTCTTTTAAAAAACCCTAAGAGCTAGAGCTTAGATATTTGGCATGAAACATCTTCTAGTGAGTATCTACCAAGTTTGTTCAAATAAAATCCCTGGGGTCAAAATTGGCCCCGCCCCAGGGGGTCATTGATTTTCCCTATATGCATATAGTAAAAACTTAAAAAATCTTCTTTTAAAGAACCCAAAGAGCTAGAGCTAAGATATTCAGCATGAAACATCTTCTAATGAGTGTCTACCAAGTTTGTTGAAATAAAAGCCCTGGGGTCAAAATTGGCCCCGCCCCATGGGGTCATTGTTTTCCCTATATGCATATACATGTAGTAAAAACTTAAAAAAATCTTATTTTAAAGAACTCAAAGAGCTAGAGCTAAGATATTTAGCATGAAACATGTTCTAATGGGTGTCTACCAAGTATGTTCAAATAAAAGCCCTGGGGTCAAAATTGGCCCCGCTCCGGGGGTCATTGATTTTCCTTATATGTGTATAGCAAAAACTTAAAAAATCTTCTTTGAAAAAACCCAAATAGCTAGAGTTTAGATATTAAGCATGAAACATGTTCTAGTGAGTGTCTAAAAAGTTTGTTCAAATAAAAGCCCTCAGGTGAAAATTGGCCCAGCACCTGGGGGTCATTGATTTTTCTTATATGTATATAGCAAAAACTTAAAAATCTTCTTTGAAAAAACCAAAATAGCTAGAGTTTAGATATTAAGCATGAAACATCTTCTAGTAAGTGTCTACAAAGTTTGTTCAAATAAAAGCCCTGGGGGTCAACACTGGCCCCGCCCCAGGGGCATCATTGTTTTTAACTATATGTGTATAGTAAAATCTAAAATAACTTCTTTTAAAAAACCCAATGAGCTAGAGCTTAGATGTTTAGCATGAAACATCTTCTTATGGGTGTCTACCAAGTTTGTTCAAGTAAAAGCCCCCAGGTGAAAATTGGCCCTGCTGGAGGGGGGGGGGGGAGATCATTGTTTTTCATTATGTGTGTAGTAAAAACTTAACAAAATTAACATCGTGAAACATCTTCAAATGAGTGTCTTTCAAGTTGGTTCAAATAAAAGCCCTGGGGTTTAAACTGGCCCCGCTCCAGAGGCCTTTATACAGGTGAGCGACCTCAGGGCCATCATGGCCCTCTTGTTACTGTTACCCACAAACCCATTTGTTATTTATTTTATTACCACGAACAAATACTGTGATGATCTGAATTTGTAAACTAAATCTAACTGTAACAAAAATAAACCAAGAGTAGCAATAACTAAACTGTCCTTACCTTGCAAGTTTTAAGTGTACTGTGGGCCTACTTGAGAAGCTGTTTTTCTTTTATTCTTTAAGCAAGTGATGATATCTACCAGTCATAAACATACAATAAGCTGTATTTTATTTAGAAAACAAAACACTAACCCATTTATAAGGTTATGATCTGTGAAATCTGATCCTTCTGTATCCAGAATATTCTTTGCGTCAGATGCATGGCTTTTACAAAATAACGATGATATCCTACAGATGTCTGTCCGCCAACTCTATCTGTAACGTTTCACTGGTTAAAATTGTTAAATAATCCTTTGTTGCATGCTTTAATCGTCTGCATGTTCCAGTTTAACACAAAATTATTCACATTACAATAACTTCCGTTGAAAAGGGATGTTTACTTTTTGACTATTCAACAAAAAGATATTTTATATACGCGAAAAGAACTCTAGGGTGCAAAGAACTAAATTTTATGAGAGTCATATTTAATTTGGTGATGCCCTAGGCCCTATCGTCGAAAATAAGAATGAATCGAGAGAGAAATGGCGGCCATTTTATTTCTTTTAATTAGAAAATAGACCACTTGACCAGATTTCATACTGTTAAAAAATACTGTTACCTATGTAACAGTACAAAATTCTTAGTCACGCGGTACACTTGCATTAACAGTAAGAATAACTCCCAGAGGCTTATGGGAAATTAACATTACGAAAAAAGTGAGGGGTAATAATGGCACTTGTCAACCCACGTCTATTACAAAAAGAGGTCAGATATGCAAAAAAATGCCCTTACTGCGTTAGTAATGCAGTAGAAATATAGTTACACATAATGAAAAATTCAGCATTTATCGCTCATAACATGTAAATTATAACTTGAATCTTTCTACTTCACCTTAAATCTTAACACATTTTTCACAAGTTTGATTTATTGAAATATTTTCGCTCACCTTGAGGCATGCTGCTTGAAGGTCAAATATCAAATATCAGAAAATTTTGTCGACTCTAAATCTAATATCTCTAAGGATATTCATCAAACTAGGAATGTTCACTTTAGCAAGGTGTGCAGAACCCATGCCACTTCTGTGTAGGGTCAAGGTCACACTTGAATTTCATGCAATTTAATTTCTGCTCTAAAAATCCTTTACCCCTTAAGGATTTGCTTCAACCATGGCTTAAATGTTCACATCAACAAGGTCATTTGTTGCTGTGCTCTCTCAATGTCAGGTTACACTTGAAGATCAAATGTCTGACAATTTTGTGTTTGCTCTATAACTCCTATTCTCATTGAAGAACTTCATACTCATTAAAACGTTTCTCAAATGTTCACCTTAAATAAATGATAAATGGATTAACATAAAATCTTATGTCTTAGTGATGATTTGAATATTAGTCAGTCATGTGACAGTTTGTGTTCTGTAGGAGAACATATTACTTTAATGTAGACCCCAGTTTTAATCAGTTTTGTATGGTGTTAATTTAGTGTTCATTACATGATTTTTGCACAGAAATGGTCAATTTGTAAAATGTTGTTTTTTTGTCCTTAGCCATGTTGTAGGTGTTTGTATACACATCTACATGACAAGCAGTTACCAAATTATTACAGTATTAATATGCTGTCCAGATAGTGTAATTTGAAACTGATTGCAATATGAGTCTCAATGGTATTAAATAGTTAATACTGTTAGTAATTTCCCATGAATTGGTTGCATAATTAAATGTTATTAAAACAACATTGGTGCTTAGATATTAAATTTGAACAATTATTTTTTACAGACAGACAGGGGAGCCATATCTTTTAAGGAACTGAAAACATGTTTTATATTTCAGGAATGGTTTTCAACAAGATTGAAGAATTTCTCTGTGACTAAGACAACAATAGCAACACAGTATTTAAATGTAGAATCCCCATTGTATGATGTAAGTAAATGTTGAATCTGCACTCAATTAAGTAGGATAATAGCAATGAATGTCTCCAGGCATTTTTCGGACTATTTTACTTGTTTATCTGACTGGGTTTTAAATGAACATGCTGAGGAGCAAGGGGTCTTGTTTTGTAAATTTTGGCCCCATTCTCCTATTAAAATAGTGTGTTTATTTCCCCCTAAAACCGAAAAAATTCCCCCTCAAAAATGATATTTAACGGCCATAGATCAGGGATATTGTTTTAGTTGAATTTTAATACAAAGTATCAAAGATGTATTTAATTTCATTAGAAGTAACCAAAATATTTAATGACATTGTTGATAAATTAGTTAACAGAATCTTGTTTTCACTTCTTTTTACTGAATTTTTTTCTGTTGGAATTCCCCCTTGAATGAAAAATATTTGAAAAATCATGCAAAATTCCCCCGTGCATGGACCCTGACCCCAGTCTCAAAATGCTAATGAGAGCCTTTGGAGCTCTTTCAAGGTTAAAAGTCTGAAAATTATCCCATTACATTACGACTGTTCAAATGATGTGGAAACTGCTAGATAAAGATAATAAGAAACCTTTATTTGAATATCTCTTTATTAGTCCCCTACCGGTTTACCGGAGGGGACTTTAGGTTTACCCTCCGTCCGTCTGTCCGTCCGTCGGTCCACAAAACTGGATCCCGCGATAACGCAAAAAGTACTGAAAATATTTTAACGAAACTTGATATATGGATAGATGGCAGTATGGAGATTATGCACGTTTTTTTCTTTTCTTCCTATGTAGAAAATTCTGGTTGCTATGGCAACAAATAGACTGAAAATATGGCAAATTTTACACATAACCTGGTTCCCGCGATAACGCAAAAAGTACTGAAAATATTTTTATGAAACTTGATATATGGATAGATGGCAGTATGGAGATTATGCACATCTTTTTCTTTTCTCCCTATGTTGAAAATTCTGGTTGCTATGGCAACAAATAGACTGAAAATATGGCAAATTTTACACATAACCTGGATCCAGTGATAACACAAAAAGTACTGAAAATATGTTTATGAAACTTGACATATGGGTAGATGGCAGTATGGAAATTATGCACATCCTTTTCTTATCTTCCTATGTTGAAAATTCTGGTTGCTATAGCAACAAATAGACTGACTTTCAAGATTTCTGATTCTAGTTTTTAAGTTTTTTCACTATAAGTTCTTTATTTCTTAAGGTATTTTCTTCAAACTTTAAATATAAGTTGCTTGTCATCAACCACATCATATGTGACAAGGTTTACAACTCCCTTGAACTTAAAATTTTCATGAAAAAAACATTGTTTTTTTTAATAACTTCTTTTTTTGAATGTATCTACTTCAAACTTCATATAAATGTTTCTTATCATCACTCAACATTTGTGAGTGTTCAATACTCTAGCAAGACTATTTCCAGAATTATGCCCCTTTTGAACTTAGACTTTTTTTTTGAGAAATTGGTAATTTTTCTCTTTTATTCCAGGATGCTCCAACAGTTTTACCTAAAACACTGGAGTAAGTAATGATATAGAATATCTTCATAATAGTTTTTTTTTGCTCCCACTTATATAAATATGCTATTGTCAACTTTTCTTGCCCATTATTTTAAGATTTTAAAAATTATCAACATTCTTGCTTATCATGACAAGGTACAGTTTTAAAACAATGGGCATCATTCTGAAAGATATATTTTTGGAGTCATGCCCTTTGTTAACTTGGAATTTTTTGTTAAAAAGATGAAAGTCAACACCGCTTGTGCTGCTTTTGTTTAATGAATGGGGTATATTATACTTGTATAATGACCGTAAAAACAGATATTCAACCTTCAAAAATGTTTATATGGTATAATTTATACATACAGCATGTTAACAGATAATTGTTCCTTTATCATTTTTGTACATGTTTTTTAAACATTTTAGTGGAGGATAACATGTTTACATATATATTTTCACAGATCATTGAATAGTTTGGTGAAGGATTTTCAAGATCTAGCAGAGATTTGTTTGCTACTTTTACACCTGGAAGTGAGAGTGCATTGCTTTTATTATCTAATGCCAGTGGCCAAACAGGTTCGTTTTTTTCTGTATGTCATTTTTGAATCCATGTCTGACAGAATATCTGATGTTACATACTGTTGTGGTTTAACTGTAGCTTCAGAAAATACTCATGCTAGCCATGCTGACCAAGATCAGCCAGCACCTCTGTGTCATAAGATCATGGTCTGCACTGTTTGCTGTTAAGTCCCTGTATTTCCTTTTCTATTTAACATTAAAATATAATAAAAGGTCTTCTTCGGATTAACAGCTAGAGAAGTCTGTTTAAGATATTTAGGGATGTATAGGTTTAAAACATTTAACTGAGGTTTGCAGACGGAAAAGTGAAGTCGATCAGCCTATGCATAGATCCCTGACCTGTCTAATTCTAATTGTTAGGTTAGTGGATACAGTAAGAATTTCACAAAATACTTATTAACAAAAGAGCACATGCCAATGTTTGTAGACAAATTTATTGTTATTCAAATAAAAGGTCAGAGTAGGGATCTATAAATTATATAGATCCTCATTAGACTATGTAAAATGCAGTCTTGACCGAGTCTATAAATTTATTTCGTTTGATTAAATCGTCACGCATTTTGGCCTCCATAACTATCCTCTATTTTTATGAATGCTTGTTGCAAATGTTCAAGTGTCTAGTAACTTTGAATATTTACAACCCCAGAGAAAAATATATATTTTGTGGTGAAATAATCATACTTCTTGACCATACCAAAACCAAATTTTGCAAGAATCTTTCCAAAATTACTACAATAAATCGCATAGTGGACCCGAACTGGTCATGGTCCGGAACTGATTCATTGACTGTACTTGTGCAAAGACTGTAAACTTTCTATGACAGCATTGACAGAGTTAATATATATTATTTTATATAATTCAGTCAAACTATGCCGGTCCCATCGATGATTTGGATCCAGACTCTAATGTGTTAAAGTTGAATAAAGATTTATCGGGAATGGAGGAAGTCTTGTCGCAGAGTCTTCAGCCGAAAAAATTTAAGTAAGTTTTTCAAACATAAAAAGAATTTAATTATTGTTTAATATATAGGTGTAACTGTATTAGAAATGAGCCGCGTCACTACAAAACCAACATTATGCGTTTGTGATCAGCATGTGCATCCTGATCAGGATCCATGCTGTTCGCTATCAGTTTTAAAGGTCTTTGCTTATCAGGATACATTTTATAATCTTGTTGCATCTATATAATACTTGCAGGATTATGTTGAAGTATTTTGTATATTCTGTTATCCACACAACACGTCTTCTTTATCATGTTGCATACATATTTGAATCTTTTTTGTCATGTTGGATATACATTTTAAATTTTTTGTCTTATCATGTATTCATCTGTATTTAAGTACATGTATTGTTTACCATTAGTTTTGGCATACAAATTTAAGTCTTGTTTATCATATTGCATACATATTTAAAGAGTCTTGTTTATCATTTTACATTAGTGTTTAATTATTGTCTAAGATGTTGCATATATCAAGTCTTGTTTAATCATGTTGCATACAAATTTAAATCTTTGCTTATCATGTTACACCTATATTGTAGATGTCTTGGCTATCATGTTACATCTATATTGCAGGTATATATTTAAAGTCTTGGCTATCATGTTACATCTATATTCTAGATATGAATTTGAAAGTCTTGGCTATCATTTTACATCTATATTGTAGATATATATTTGAAAGTCTTGGCTATCATGTTACATCTATATTGTAGATATATACTGAAAGTCTTGGCTATCATGTTACATCTATATTGCAGGTATATATTTGAAAGTCTTGGCTATCATGTTACATCTATATTGCAGGTATATATTTGAAAGTCTTGGCTATCATGTTACATCTATATTCTAGATATGAATTTGAAAGTCTTGCTTATCATGTTACATCTATATTGCAGGTATATATTTGAAAGTCTTGGCTATCATGTTACATCTATATTGTAGATATATATTTGAAAGTCTTGGCTATCATGTTACATCTATATTGCAGGTATATATTTGAAAGTCTTGGCTATCATGTTACATCTATATTGCAGGTATATATTTGAAAGTCTGGGCATTCATGTTGCATCTATATTGCAGGTATATATTTGAAAGTCTGGCTATCATGTTACATCTATATTGCAGGTATATATTTGAAAGTCTTGGCTATCATGTTACATCTATATTCTAGACATGAATTTGAAAGTCTTGCTTATCATGTTACATCTATATTGCAGTATATATTTGAAAGTCTTGGCTATCATGTTACATCTATATTGCAGGTATATATTTGAAAGTCTTGGCTATCATGTTACATCTATATTGCAGGTATATATTTGAAAGTCTTGGCTATCATGTTACATCTATGAAAGTCTTGGCTATCATGTTACATCTATATTGCAGGTATATATTTGAAAAGTCTTGGCTATCATGTTAACATCTATATTACAGATATATATTTGAAAGTCTTGGCTATCATGTTACATCTATATTGCAGGTATATATTTGAAAGTCTTGGCTATCATGTTACATCTATATTGCAGGTATATATTGAAAGTCTTGGCTATCATGTTACATCTATATTGCAGGTATATATTTGAAAGTCTTGGCTATCATGTTACATCTATATTGCAGATATATATTTGAAAGTCTTGGCTATCATGTTACATCTTATTGCATTATATTTTGACATGTTACATCTATATGTTACATCAGGTATATATTTGAAAGTCTTGGCTATCATGTTACATCTATATTGCAGATATATATTTGATTGTCTTGGCTATCATGTTACATCTATATTGCAGGTATATATTTGAAAGTCTTGGCTATCATGTTACATCTATATTACAGGTATATATTTGAAAGTCTTGGCTATCATGTTACATCTATATTGCAGGTATATATTTGAAAGTCTTGGCTATCATGTTACATCTATATTACAGATATATATTTGAAAGTCTTGGCTATCATGTTACATCTATATTGTAGATATATACTGAAAGTCTTGGCTATCATGTTACATCTATATTACAGGTATATATTTGAAAGTCTTGGCTATCTTGTGGCATCTATACTCATGAACAGTATGCAGTTTATCAAGAAAATCAACGAGAATGGAATCAAGAAAATGTAAGTTCTTGCTAATTTAAAAAATTCACTCACTGGGCCAATGCTCATGTTAATTTAAATATATTAATTCATTAATATAACATAGACTACATTCATATATATCAACCTTTAAACCTACATGCCTCCAGATGAGCCAAAATATTTCAAGAAAATCCAACTTGAGAAAAAAGTACTAAGATTTTAAGAAAAGTAAAAATATTTAAGAAATGCTTGTCATATGTGGGTTTATGACTGACTTTACAGTACTTTTCACCATATTTCTACAGCTAAATACATTTTTAAAATTTCCATGAAAATGAGCATGCTGCTTTAATCGGCTGTATTTCTAAAATACACTTTTTCCTGTTTTACTATTATCAATTACGCAAGTTTAAAAAATAAGCATATTAAAAATTAACGTCTAATTTCTTAAAAACACTATATGTTTTTCAGGTGTCGTAATTTATTTGCCATACAGCAGAATCTGACCAATATCACAATGTCACGAGAGTCGGACCTTGATCATGCCAGGCAGTACTATGAGTTGCTCTATCTCAATCCAGATGTAAGTTAATAGTAGTGCAGGGAAATTTTATTTGAATGTTTGAAACGGCACCGGATATATGAAAACGAAAAATTGAATAAGAATTCTCTTAATAACTAAAAGCAATAAAAAATTGCCTATCAAATCATTATGAATTCAAAAAAATCAAAAAAAAATCAATGCAGTCTGCCTGTAGTCTTTTTGCCATTTTTTTTTTTTTTGCCATTATATATTGAAACCACATACAAACAAATTGTAAATTTCTAAATTCAAAGACCATTGTACTTAACTAGCATTGTAATGATTAAAAGTCTGTTTTGAAAAACCTCAACCCATCTTGCAATCCTGTTACGAAATTATTTTCCATGATATGGCTCTTAGTGTATAAATTTATATGTTTATGTAATTATTACAGGATATTCTAACAGCAATAGCGGAGAAGGGTCCACAATTCACATTTAGCGAGTACAGTCAGTTATTACACTTACATCATCGCAGCCATTTTACCACAGATCAGCGGGTCGTAGAGTCCCATATCCAAAGGTTGAGGGAGGTCATCGAGAAAGGTCAAAATGAAACTGTCTAAACTTGTGTTAATATGATAGATGTTGAGGTGTGTTTTTTTAAGACTTTGACATTGATAATAGAAAATGCTGAAAGATTGAATATGTTGAATTTGATAGAAACTGTCAATATGATCATGTTTTAAATTTATGTTTTTGAGGATCATGTTTGTGGTATTGTAAGGAAAAAACTGGTAACCGTGAACATTTGTGTTTATGATAATTTTGAGCACTCTTCGAAATGTACTTTAATATGATTTTTTTATGCCACCGCAATCTGCGATACGGTGGCATATAGCGATTCACCTGTGTGTGTGTTTGTGTGTGTGTGTGTTATATAGATTATATAGTGAACTTAAAACATCTTCTTGTGAAAAACTACTAGTCCAATTTCAACCAAACTTGGCAGGATTGTTCCTTGGGTGAAGGGCTTCCAAAGTTGTTCAAAGAATTTCAGTCCATGCAGAAATCTGGTTGCCATGGCAACCAAAAGGAATTAAAAGAATAAATTAAAAAAATCTTCTTGTAAAGACCCAAAAGGCCTAGAGCTTAGATATTTTGCATAAGGCATTGTCTGGTAGACCTCTAACAAGATTGTTCAAATTATAGCCCTGGGGTCAAAATTGGCCCCGCCCCAGGGTCATTGATTTTCACTATGTACATAATAGAAACTTTAACTTTAAATACATTCTTGTAAAAACCCAAAAGGCCTAGACATTAGATATATTGCATAAGGCATCATCTGGTAGACCCTTACTAAGATTGTTCAAATTATAGCCCTTGGGTCAAAATCGGCTCCGCCCTGGGGTCATTTATTTTCGCTACATGTACATATAGTAAAAACTTAAAACACCTTCTTGTAAAGACCCAAAAGGTCTAGAGCTTAGATATTTTGCATAAGGCATTATCTGGTAGACCTCTACCAAGATTGTTCAAATTATAGCCCTGGGGTCAAAATCGGCTCGCCCCAGTCATTGGTTTTCCTTTTATGTATATAGTAAAAACTTTAAAAAATTCTTCTAGCAATTGACAAATGTTAGAGGTTAGCTATCTTGCATGAAACATTGTGTTGTAAACCTCTAGCAAGATTGTTCAAATTATAGCCCTGGGGTCAAAATTGCCCCCGCCCTGGGGATCATTGATTTCAATATATACATATAGTAAAAAATTCAAAAAATCTTATTGTCTGAAGGTACAAGGCTTATAGCTTTAATATTTGTTAAATAATATCATCTAAAGGTACTCTACCAAAGTTGTTAAAATTTTGCCTCTTGTGTCAAAATTAGCCCCGCCCCTGGGAGCCATAGGTTTATTTTATGTGTATATAGTTAGAACTTAAAAAATCATCTTCTCTAAATTTACAAAAGATAGAGTTAAGATATTTTGCATGAAACATTGTGTAGTGAACCTCTAGCAAGATTGTTCAAATTATAGCCCTGGGGTCAAAATTGTTTCCGCCCCGGGGGTCATTGATTTTCATTATGTACATATAGTAAAAAAAATATATTTTTGTCTAAAGGTTCAAGGCATAGAGCTTTGATTTTTGATATATAATATCATCTATAGGTCCTCTACCAAAGTTGTTCAAATGTCAAAAATTGGCACTGTTTGGGGGCAGTGATTCTCATTATGTACACATGTTAAAAACAGAAAATAAAACAAATATTTTCTGAATGGGAGAAAGCTATAGCTTAAATATTTGACTTGAAATGTTGTTTGGTGGACCTGTATCAAGATTGTTATTAAACCCTTTGGTCAAAATTATGCCTTGCCCAAGGAGACAGTGACCTACTTTCTTGTCCTTTGATGTAGTCAGCAATGAAATTTTGACCATGTGCACAGTTTTAGTTATAAAATTGAACTTTGACCTAGATTTTGATGATGTGACCTACTTACTTGTCCTTTGATGCACAGCTATGAAATTTGAACCATGTGGTGGCATAGCATTTTTCTCAAATGCAATCTTGTTTCCTTTTTGTTTGTTTTAAAATCACAACAACATGTTGAGTCATATGGTGTCTTTTGAGCTATACTGGTTGCGGACGACCACAGGTGCCCCTTTGTGCATTATTTCAGATAAAAGCGGGAATCTGAGTAGAACCACCGACCTTCCATAAGCTTATAATGTGTATATGAACCTCTTTGCTGAAACATTGTCAAATGTTTTGTTACTCTGTGCAATATATTGTTTTGAAACAAATTTGTTAAACATTAATATCATGTATTTTATTGTATTTTTTAAGTGCTTGCCTATTTATGCTATTAATGTATTCAAAGATGATTATTAAATATTAAAACATGCTTAAAACTTCCATTTTTGTTTCTTACTTGTTAAATTTTCCAGATAAATATTTTTAGTCTGGTTTTCCATATTGGTGTGTAGTTGGGAGTCTTGGCCATTTCTTTTGTACACAATTTCTACTTTACATTTCAAAATGGGTTTTAAACAAACTGTGACAGAATTATTGTCACTGTGCCATGGGGCATATTATCAAAGTTTTGTGATTTGAACATTTTTTGGCAGAATTATGACCAAATGTTTCTTTTAAATGTCTGAGGAAACTTGAAGACATATTATGGTGTGATGTCTATCCACCTGTCTGGAAACAATTGATTTAACAGGATTTCAATGAAGGTGTTTATAATTGGTATGTAAGTATTTATATCAAAACAAAGGTTATATTTGATTTTTGCACTCTCACCAACTTCAAGAAAATTTTCTTTATAATTTTTGGTTTCTACAGGATTTCAAAGATTGTGTTTATATTTGGCATTTACAGTAAGAATGTTATATCAAAACAAAGATGAAGTTTGTTTTTCTCGGCAATCAACCTTTTCATGGAAGAGTTGTGTCCCTTTTAATTTTTACATGTTTATTTGCAGAAAATCAGATAATGCCGTCAGCTGTTTTACAAATTTCCTTCATATCTAGTATCACTTATTCAAGGGAAGTAATAAATACTGTAGAAGTTTATATGCTGAAACAGTGTAAAACTATATCTAGTGACATACTCTAAAATTTTCTTGACATGCAATACCTTCTTCATATATTTCATACTCTGATGGTCGTTTCAGGACAGTTAAAACAAAGGAGTGTCTCTAGTTATTCAACACCTATGAATAATGTAACAAAACAGTATAAACATACAAAATATTCAGATGTTATTTTAGTAAGATAAGGAATGGGCCACCTGCTTTATTACAAAATTTTCAAACATCTTTATTTCAAGTTTGTTTGTTTGTTTGTTTCATTTTACGCCTTTTTCCAACAGTATTTCAGTCATATAGGCGGGTAGTTTCCTAACCATCGTTCCTGGAGAGTTACACCAGTACTAGACTACCTTCCTCCGCGCTAAACTACCAAAGCATCTCCTGGGGATCGAACCCACGCCAGATCTTTATTTCAAACTAACAATAAAAGGTGTAGTATAAAAATTATACACATGAACACCAGTACAGGTGTAATAATTTTTTACAGTCTACCAGTTTTGGTCAAAAGATAGACCTTTATCAGTTATTTCAAATTAAGAATTTCGTAATGATTTTTATAAATTAAAATTGTGTGACAGCATGGTATATCTCTTATAGCCTTATAATGGCATATTGTTTCTGTAAATGGGTGAGTCACAAGTCCTGCTTTTAAGTTGGTGATAGGCAAGAGATTTACAAAAATCTTTGATTTCTGCCAAGTGTTTATTATAATATTGAAATAAAATACTGTGTAAAGAAAGCAAGAAAAAATACATTTTTCAATATTTAATTTCTTTAAACTCAAACATATGTATGTATCTATACATACAGGTAAAATACATCAATGCATAACATCTGTGTAACTTTTTTGTATGCATTATTTCAGACATCAGATAATATTAAATAACTAAATGACATAAGTTCCACAGACAATTTCTTCCATTTTAATTTCATATCTTATGAAGTTACAGTATAAAAGTGTATCAAATTTTTAATCATGGATTTATTCAGGCATCCATTTTTCCACCTGAGCATTCCTGTAACAGATGAAATTTTGTCTAAATCATCCAATTCTCAACCTTTTTATTTGATACTGTTTTGTTCCAATGATTCTAGGTCCTTTGAAAGCTGTAATATTTGGTAATAAAGCCGGTGTCCTTAACTGCATTCCACGCCCACCTGGCGTATACGCCCTGAATACAGCAGAAACATTCCAGTCATATGCAGAAAATGAAAGCCATCCTGGGGAGAGAAAAGACTTGTCATTCAATCGCTCTTGTTGTTTATGCCGTTTTATAAACAGAAGTACCCTTGTTGTTTCATTTGTAACCCTAACATAGATATTTTGGTGAATAGTAAGTACTTAACACTATGTTGAAACTGGCTGCCAGTACAGACGGGAATTACTAGCTCGAGGGTAACTGTTCACGGCGATAAAAAGGCACTGCTGAGTTTCCGCTTAACAGTTAGCCTGAAGCTAGATATTCTGGTCTCTACTGACAGCCAGTGTTTGAATCCTTTTCTTGTGAAAACTGATATTCTCATTTCGCACTTTTTTCTTATAGTAGCTTATGAACTTACAACTTCATTCATAACGATAAAATGATGTCATCCTAAGAACGCAATTCAATCATAAAAGATGCATGGCAATGATATCATTGTCATCAAAATGTCTGACATGGGGGTGCACCAATGTAAATGGTAGAAAATACTGTCTAATATATGCAAGAATAATTGAATGTTCTCACGAATACCTTTTTTACTCAAAAGAACAATTTTTTTAGATTCACAAATCTTGAAACACTCTGCATCAACAAATGCACAATGTACAGCCATGTAGGTGAAATGAACATCCTAATTAAAACGATCTGTTAATATATCTATTCTAATGCAAATATTTAATTACATATAAAACGCACTTATCACTATAGGGTTAGGAAAGAAGGGATAGCCTATTGAACAAAATTTCTGTATCTTTCATATATGATTCTTAGGTGTACTTAACACTTTGACAAAATTTGTCCATGCAGCCTGGCCACGTTTCAATGATTTTCAATCAGTATGTGGACAGCTGTATTTTAGCTATCCGGTATCCGAAATCCTTGTAAATGACAATACAATTGTTTATCACAATAAACCGCGGCGCAGGAGTGTAATAAAGCCATTTAATAGAAACGATATTACACTAGACGATATTACACTAGTGTAATAACACTTTGACGTCACGTCATTTGCACTATAAACATAGCGTTAAAGCGCGCTAATGTTAGCGTTACACTATAGGCGCGTCAAAGAAAAATGACTCTTGTTAACAGTTTACCGTTCTTATTTTATATATGTGATAAATAGAATATTATATTCGTGCACACTCAATACTAAATTTATTGAACGAGTTGAATAAAAAAATATTATGCTCGCCTCTAACACCGCCAGAGGCGAGCATAATATTTTTTTATTCAACTCGTTCAATAAATTTAGTATTAAACCTACACTCATTCAATATCCTCTATATAATAATATATGAGCTGTGTCATGACAAAACCAACATAATGGGTTTGCGACCAGCATGTATCCAGACCAGCCTGCGTATCCGCGCAGTCTGATCAGGATCCATGCTGTTTGCTTACAGACCCTATAACAAGTAGAGAAACTGAAAGCAAACAGCATAGATCCAGATCAGATTGTTGGGATGCGCAGGCTGGTCTGGATCCATGCTGGTCTCAAACCCATTACGTTAGTTTTGTCATGACGCGGCTCATATATACTTTAACTTACCAAGAGAAGAGAGTTGAAGATCTGTTGTGGCCATCTTAGGCTCTTCCATTTCTATATGAAATTCTCTAGCACTCAAACTTGGTAACCTGTCCAACCTTTTAGAATCACCTATAGGTAACTGAAATAAATCAAATGTTGACAGTTTTTAACACATTTTTGGTCACATCCCAGTGGTTGGTACACCCAACTGGCTTTCCTGGATAACTAGTCAGTATTTAATATGGATGGCAATTTTACCTATTTTTTATATTTGAATGTTTGAATTCCATTGTTAGAGTGTTCATAAACCATGAAACCATTTGTATGTTATAGAATCAGTGTTGACCTTTGAGGTCCAATGAATTAGATTTGTCAAAGAAACATTGAGATAATTTTGGACAGGCTATGTCTACCCTTTATCACCACATAACTGTTAATCTTTATCACTATTTATATCTGTCAGATACTTAATCACATTATAAACTATATGATACTCTCTATCACTGCATAAGTTATAAAATACTCTTTATCAACACATAGGGGCGTCGGTGGCCGAGTGGTTAAGGTTGTTGACTTCTAACCACTTGCCCCTCACTGCTTTGGATTCTTTGGTTATGGAATGTCTGTGGTTCTACTCAGGTTCCCATAAATGCCTGAAATAATGTATGGAAGGGCACCTGAGGTCTTCCTTCAACCAGTAAAGCTGGAATGTTGCCATATGACCTATAATGTGTCGCTGTGACGTAAAACCCAATTAAACAAACAAACAAATTATCATCACAAAAGTGTTATCACTGTATAAACTATCAGATTCTCTATCACATTATAAACTATATGATACTCTCGATCACTACATAAAGTATAAAATACTATTAATCACTGCATAATTTATAAAATACTCTCTGCATAATTTATAAAGTGTTCAATTACTACATAAACTTTATGACACATTCTATCACTACATAAAGTATAAAATACTCTTTATCACCACATAATCTGTAAAATACTCTCGTTTAGAGTAAAACAATTTTGAAAAAACTAAAATTATCAATTCAAGTACTTACACCGAGAACTTCTGTCCCAACATTCTCTGTGTAGAACTGGTCAGCATCACAATTCTGTATAACATGGACTGGCAAAAAATGATTGGTGTGTACTGTAACAAATGTTCTTGGCTTTCCCTAAAACAAACAATTTACATGCAGTGACCCTTAAATAATGAATTTAATCCAATTTCTCGACTGTCAAAGCATCTGAATACATGAGGTTAGGACTAAGTTTACTCAACAACTGGCTGTAAAATGAGAGAATGCAAATATTAGCTATTTAATGTAAGATTATACCCTGTAAAACTGCCAAAAATTTGTCTTACAGGCCCAACATTTCTTCCTAAAATTCTTTTAAGCCAAGCAGAGACTGCACTCTACTTTTCTTATTTCTTATGTCAGAACATCACAAGAGGCAGAATATTGTAGGAAAGAATACTCTATGAAAACATTTTTTTCTTGCACAAAATACAAGTCAAATTACATATTTGACATTGATGATCAGGGTTATTCAAATGTCAAGGTCACATTTGAATGTTCTTTTATCCAAGAATGAATCAAATCAACCAATAAATAACAAAGTTATGAAAATTTAAGTAAATTTCAGTAATTTGATCTTGAGAGTAAAGGTCAAATAAAGATTTCAGTAATTTGACCTTGAGAGTAAAGGTCAAATAAAGTCTGTCATATCAGAATTAATCAACATGTTGATCTTATTGTCTTTTGTTTACAGTGACTCTATGTGGCACTTTGCCGGAAAGTTGTTATCAGCCTGCTTAACACTAGCACATGCAAAAACTGATCAATATCATTACAATTCACATCTTGAAAAAGCTAGCTGTAAAGTGTGATTTGGTTTTTAACATTAATTTGTTAATTTTATGATAACAAATTAAGTATAATTTGTACAAACACAGTTTACTGAAATTCAAAATTTGCTGTTTTTCAGTCAAGTAAATTAATTCTGTACCTAAACAATGAAAGACTAGAAATGTGTCCATAGGACACGGGTGCCCCCACCGCGCCACTGTTCTGTCAATCTTTTTACTAAGTCAAGGGAAATAACTCTACAAATACTGGATAAATCCACAAGCCAAACCCCAAGTGCAGATCTAAATATGCTGAGCAACCTGCCCGTAAGGTTTAATGAATATGTCAAATCCTTTTTGAGTAACTAGCAACACAAGTTGAAAATTGCAAAAATTTTCTAAGTGAAGGGCAATAACTCTAAAACTACTAAATAAATCCAGACGAAAATACCTGGTGCACAACTGCACATGCTGATCAATATTCCTGTAAAGTTAAATGACTCTAGGTCAAATACTTTTTGAGTTACGTGCGACACAAGTTGAAAATTGCAAAATTTTACTAAGTCAAGAGCAATAACTCTGAAAATACTAAAAATATCCAGATGAAAATTCCCAGGTGCACAACTACACATGCTGATCAACATTCCTGTAAAGTTTCATGACTCTAGGTCAAATACTTTTTGAGTTACGTGCGACACAAGTTGAAAATTGCAAAATTTTACTAAGTCAAGGGCAATAACTCTGAAAATACTAAAAATATCCAGACGAAAATACCCAGGCGCACAACTACACATGCTGATCAACATTCGTGTAAAGTTTCATGACTCTAGGTCAAATACTTTTTGAGTTACATGCGACACAAGTTGAAAATTGCAAAATTTTACTAAGTCAAGGGCAATTACTCTAAAAATGCTACAAATATCCACACAAAAATACCCAGGTGCACAACTACACATGCTGATCAACATTCCTGTAAAGTTTCATGACTCTAGGTCAAATACTTTTTGAGTTACATGCGACACAAGTTGAAAATTGCAAAATTTTACTAAGTCAAGGGCAATAACTCTGAAAATACTAAAAATATCCAGACGAAAATACCCAGGCGCACAACTACACATGCTGATCAACATTCGTGTAAAGTTTCATGACTCTAGGTCAAATACTTTTGAGTTACATGCGACACAAGTTGAAAATTGCAAAATTTTACTAAGTCAAGGGCAATTACTCTAAAAATACTACAAATATCCACACAAAAATACCCAGGTGCACAAACTACACATGCTGATCAACATTCCTGTAAAGTTTCATGACTCTAGGTCAAATACTTTTTGAGTTACATGCGACACAAGTTGAAAAATTGCAAAATTTTACTAAGTCAAGGGCAATAAACTCTGAAAATACTAAAAATATCCAGACGAAAATACCCAGGTGCACAACTACACATGCTGATCAACATTCCTGTAAAGTTTCATGACTCTAGGTCAAATACTTTTTGAGTTACGTGCGACACAAGTTGAAAATTGCAAAATTTTACTAAGTCAAGGGCAATAACTCTGAAAATACTAAAAATATCCAGACGAAAATACCCCAGGTGCACAACTACACATGCTGATCAACATTCGTGTAAAGTTTCATGACTCTAGGTCAAATACTTTTTTGAGTTACATGCGACACAAGTTGAAAATTTGCAAAATTTTACTAAGTCAAGGGCAATAACTCTAAAAAATACTACAAATATCCACAAAAAATACCCAGGTGCACAACTAGACATGCTGATCAACATTCCTGTAAAGTTTCATGACTCTAGGTCGAATACTTTTTGAGTTACGTGCGACACAAGTTGAAAATTGCAAAATTTTACTAAGTCAAGGGCAATAACTCTGAAAATACTAAAAATATCCAGACGAAAATACCCAGGTGCACAACTACACATGCTGATCAACATTCGTGTAAAGTTTCATGATTCTAGGTCAAATACTTTTTGAGTTACGTGCGACACGAAAGTGAACGGACAGACGGAAGGACGGACGGACAAGGGTAAATCTAAATACCCGCCACTAACGTGGGGGCACAAAAATGAACAAAGCATATTTTTACATCAACTTAGATGCAAGAATTTCAAATATGTTAAGTTGTTAAAATTAAACTTACTTCTAGGTAGTCAAGCCTTGCAAGTCCTGTCACAAACATAACATCTCCAGGTTTCATGACAAAAACCCGTGGACGGATCATCTGCATATTTAGAATCGTCTTCAATTCCTCACCTTCTAATTTATTAATAAGCTTCAAAATAGAAAAATATAAGTATTTTCAGTTGCATACAGTCAAACCTGAGAACACAGGCCACAAAAAGAAGAGACAAATAATGGTCTATAGACAGTTGGTCATTACTTACAGGTTATACATGTATTATTCCATTTTATCAATGAAGGGTTATCAAGAGTGGCCTTTAATTGCAGGGTTATCTTTTTTCAGAGGTGGTCTTCAACGTAAGTTTGAATGTAATGGATGGGGCACTTCATACTTTTGTAACAGCTTTTTTCTGTTTCATTTATCTGTTTGTCTATTGTTTCAGTGTCAAGAGTTTTGTTGAGGAAGGTTAAGCATGTGTTGATAACTGTTCACCATTTCAAAGTCAACAAATTATTTGTTAATTGGTATATATTTGAATATGATGCAAGTTTTCCTATTGTGCAAGTTTTCACAATTGTAGCTACAATCTGCCCAGCAAAATTTTTTTTCTTCCCTTTTTTGTGCTTGGTTTTAAAATCATGCAAATCAGCCTGCTATTTTCAAGCTATACTAGTGGAGGAAGACCTCAAGTAATTGACTAAGTTATTAACTCATTACAGGTACAACTGGGCATCCAAGTAGAAACACTACCTACTGTAAGTTTACTGTATGTCAGCTTCTTTGCATGAAAGATGTCTTAGTCCCTTGTGGGACTTGAATCTAACAGCTCCAAAGTTAGCAACCTCCACCACTGTGACATGATGGACAGGGCAGTGATTGCAAGATGCTGTTTTTGATGATATTTAAATATTACTCCTCATGTGCTCCTCTTTATATTATATGAGACACAAACAGGCCCCAGGGTAGATCCACTGTCCTTTACTCTAGCAGATTAACAGCTAGCTTCCAAACATGAAAGAATTCTAATAGTTTTTGTATGGATTTAAAGCAATAGGAATCATGAGTCAGCAGCCTTAACCAATCAGCCGAAGGCAAGTTTTCCTGTATGTTCAAGTTTTTTCCTAAATATACAAGTTTTTCTTATATGTACAAGTTTTATTCTAAATGTACAAGTTTGTCCTATATGTACATATTTTTCCTTTATCATTATGTACAAGTTTTTCCTATATGTACAAGTTATTTCCTAAATGTACAACTTTTTCCTAAATGTACAAGTTTTTTCCCTTAATGTACAAGTTTTTCTATATGTATAAGTTTTTTCCTATATTTACAAGTTTTTCCTATATGTACAAGCTTCTTCTATATGTACAAGATTTTTCCTATATACATGTACCTGAATTTACAAGGTTTTCCTATATTTACAAGTTTTTCCTATATGTACAAGTTTTCCTATATGTACAAGTTTTCCTATATTTTCAAGTTTTTCCTATATTTACAAGTTTTTCCTATATTTACAAGTTTTACTATATGCACAAGTTTTTCTATATTTTTAAGTTTTTTTCTATATTTACAGGTTTTTCCTATATTTACAAGTTTTTCCTATATGCACAAGTTTTATCCTATATGCCCAAGTTTTTTCTATATGTACAAGTAACATAATGTTATGTTTAATCAGTCATTTGAAAACTGGTAACTTTGAATTTCAACTGTTCAAATTGCCTCCCTTTACAGACAGGTATAATTTCTTCTTTATTTAAAATATCATAGAGCTTGACCTTATGTCTGACTAAGTCATGACAACCAGAAACACACACTTACCTGATTCTCATTAATAAGGCCAGGAGTATCACATGTCCATCTGGCCTCTGGAAACTTTTCCTCAAGAACAGTCTTACGTAGACTCAATACATTTCCCTTTTCAAAACCTGTTTCTTCCTTCAACTCCTCATCAGCTATGTATTAACAAAATAATCAAATTAAACATGGTGCATTTGTAATACATAAATATCCCTGCCCCAAAGAATGATTTAACATGTATATATACAAAATGTAATAGTCATAATTAGCCTGGAATCCAGTTTGTCAATTTTTTATGTGCTTCTGTTCGGCAAATTGACACTATCAAAAACACGAAATATCACATTTGTTATGAATAAGAATAAACTTTCCAAGGCTGAATCCCAGGGTAAGTCAAAATGAAAGAAATTCAATGTTCTATATCATTGATTTTGGGAAAATATCAAAGTTTAATAGTTATTTTTCAACAATTTTGTCACTTGGGAAAAATCATAATTATATATGAGCCGCGTCACGACAAAACCAACATAGTACGTTTGCGACCAGCATGGATCCAGACCAGCCTGCACACCCGCACAGTCTGATCAGGATCCATGCTGTTCGCTATCAGTTTCTCTACTTGTAAAAGGGTTTGTAAGTGAACAGCATAGATCCTGATCAGACTGCACGGATGTGGAGGCTGGTCTGGATCCATGCTGGTTGCAAAAGCATTACGTTGGTTTTGTCATGCTCATTTTGCATGTATTCTGTGGGGAAAAAAAACAAAGCATGCTCTTATGGGAGAGGACATTCATAAGCTTTCATAGCTTTATGCAAAATCCGAAAATGTATAAATATTGTTCATCATTCAAAATGTAAATATATCGAATAAAAATGTTTAAAGCAAACAAGAGGGCCACGATGGCCCTGAAGTCGCTCACCTGTTTTTTAAAAGAACATTTTTTTAAAGTTTTTACTATACACATATAGTTAAATACAATGACACCCTGGGGCGGGACCAATTTTGACCCCAGAGCTTTTATTTGAACAATCTTGGTAGACACTCATTAGAAGATGTTTCATGCTTAATATCTTAGCTCTAGCTCTTTGGGTTCTTTAAAAGAAGATTTTTTTAAGTTTTTTACTATATGCATATAGGGAAAAATAGGGAAAATCAATGACCCCCTGGGGCGGGGCTAATTTTGACCCCAGAGCTTTTATTTGAACAAACTTGGTAGACACTCATTAGAAAATGTTTCATGCTAAATATCTTAGCTCTAGCTCTTTGGGTTCTTTAAAAGATTTTTTTTTAAGTTTTTACTATATGCATATAGGGAAAATCAATGACCCCCTGGGGTGGGGCCAATTTTGACCCCAGGGATTTTATTTGAACAAACTTGGTAGACACCCATTAGAAGATGTTTCATGCTAAATATCTTAGCTCTAGCTCTTTGGGTTTTTTAGAAGAACATTTTTTAAGTTTTTACTATATGCATATAGGGAAAATCAATGACCCCCTGGGGCGGGGCCAATTTTGACCCCAGGGCTTTTATTTACACAATCTTGGTAGACACTTATTAGAAGATGCTTCATGCCAAATATCTTAGCTCTTGCTCTTTGGGTTCTTTAAAAGAAATTTTTTAAAGTTTTTACTATATGCATATAGGGAAAATCAATGACCCCCTGGGGCGGGGCTAATTTTGACCCAGGGCTTTTATTTGAACAAACTTAGTAGACACCGATTAGAAGATGTTTGATGCTAAATATCTTAGCTCTAGCTTTTTGGGTTCTTTAAAAGAACATTTTTTTAAGTTTTTACTATATGCATATAGGGAAAATCAATGACCCCCCAGGGGCGGGGCCAATTTTGACCCCAGGGCTTTTATTTGAACAAACTTGGTAGACATCTATTAGAACATGTTTCATGACAAATATCTAAGCTCTAGCTCTTTGGGTTTTTTAGAAGAAGATTTTTTAAGTTTTTACTATATGCATATAGGGAAAATCAATGACCCCCTGGGGCGGGGCCAATTTTGACCCCAGGGATTTTATTTGAACAATCTTGGTAGACACTCATTAGAAGATGTTTCATGCTTAATATCTTAGCTCTAGCTCTTTGGGTACTTTAAAAGAAGATTTTTTTAAGTTTTTACTATATGCATATAGGGAAAATCAATGACCCCCTGGGGCGGGGCCAATTTTGACCCCAGGGATTTTATTTGAACAATCTTTATAGACACTCACTAGAAGATGTTTCATGCCAAATATCTAAGCTCTTGCTCTTTGTGTTTTCTAGAAGAAGATGTTTAAAGTTTTTTCTTTTGGTTGCCATGGCAACCAGAGTTCTGCATGGAATGGAATTCTTTGAACAACTTTGTTAAGGCTTCACACAAGGAATATCCCTGTGAAGTTTCATTATGATCTGCCTTATGGTTTCAGAGGAGATGTCGTTTGAAAAGTGTGAACGGACAACGTACGACGGACGACGGACGAAGAGTGATCCTAATAGCTCACCCTGAGCTTATGCTCAGGTGAGCTAAAAAGCATGAATGCGAAGGCTGGCCTGGCTCTATATGGGTCAAAAAGACTCGTCACTTTCTGTCCAAGATTTTTAGGCTAACTGTATTAAAGTTCAAGTATGAGTACTATCAAACCTACCTGCATTAAATGTGTAAGTTGAGAAGCTTTGACCAGTTGATGAATATCTTTTATTTTCTTCCTCTATGATCTCTTCACTGCGGAATTCCGTCTTACCAACATGACCTGTGTTTTAAACATACAACATGTATAAAACAAGATTGCATTTGAGAAAAATGCTATGCCACCGCAATAAAACAACACTAAATAGTAGTGTAGGAACAGATTTTTTTGTTTCTATACAATTGAAAATTGTCATAATGCATATCTAATTCTTATTATCAGATTAGTGGTTAAATCTATTGTTAACTCAATAAAAGATCAGAGTAGGAATATATCAATGCACTTGAGTCTAGTGAATTTGGTGGTGAAGGTCATATTTCACACAGCCTAAAATTTCATGACTGCATCAAAGGACAACATGTAATACACTTTGTCAAAATCTAGGTCAGCTGATATCAAAGTTCACTTTTAATTTTGACACTAGAGGCAAAATTTGAACAACTTTGGTAGAGTACCTATATATGATATCATTTAACAAATATTAAAGCTCTAAGCCTTGTACCTTCAGACAATAAGATTTTTTTGATTTTTTACTATATGTATATATTGAAAATCAATGACCCCGAGGCGGGGGCAATTTTGACCCCAGGGCTATAATTTGAACAATCTTGGTAACGGTCTATCAGACAATGCCTTATGCAAAAAATCTAAGCTCTAGGCCTTTTGGGTCTTTACAAGAAGTTATTTTAAGTTTTTACTATATGTACATATAGTGAAAATCAATGACCCCCGGGGCGGGGCCGATTTTAACCCCAGGGTTATAATTTGAATAATCTTGGTAGAGGTCTACCAGACAATGCCTTATGCAAAATATCTAAGCTCTAGGCCTTTTGGGTCTTTACAAGAAGTTATTTTAAGTTTTTACTATATGTACATATAGTGAAAATCAATGACCCCCGGGGCGGGGCCAATTTTGACCCCAGGGTTATAATTTGAACAATCTTGGTAGAGGTCTATCAGACAATGCCTAATGCAAAATATCTAAGCTCTAGGCCTTTTGGGTCTTTACAAGAAGATTTTTAAAATTTATTCTTATAATTCCTTTTGGTTGCCATGGCAACCAGATTTCTGCATGGAATGAAATTCTTTGAACAACTTTGGAAGCCCTTCACCCAAGGATCAATCCTGCCAAGTTTGGTTGAAATTGGACAAGTGGTTTTTCACAAGAAGATTTTCTAAGTTCACTATATAATCTATATAACACACACACACACACACACACACACAAAGTTCACAAACAAACACACACACAGGTGAATCGCTATATGCCACCGCATCGCAGATGCTGCGGTGGCATAAAAAAATAAGCTGATATCTAGCAATTTTTTGAATTTAGGAAATTAAAAATTAATATGTGTTCTTTAAAGTGACATTATGCTAATTTTTTCACTGTCTATCTGAGATAATTAAGTTCCGTATTTCAAAAGATTGACAATTTAGTATTATAATGGCAATTGAGCAGAGCAATAATTGAATTCATGACAATTGTTGAGGATGAAATATAAAACAGCCTGAAATAAAAAAGATTACTCATTGAACATAACCAATAATTAAATTTCTGGAGAATATTTATAGATATTTATGAGGGTCACCGTGGCTACTGATTATTCAGATGACAATTATAATTATGAAATTGAAAACAAATTGATGACAAAATGTAAATTTACTGTGAATTTTACCTGAACCCTCATCAATTACTCTTTGATAGGCATAATGTTACTTTAAAATTTTCAATCCAATAAAACAAAAAATTTGCATCTAGAGGTTTTGACTCCAGACGACCTTTGTTCCTCCATGTCTAAGATATTATTATCAAAATGAACTTTCTGGACTTTCACCTCTAGCATGTTAACACAGTTTTTTCCTTTAATCTCACATGGTGACCTAGCTTCTAACCCAAGATGACCCATTGGCAAGTCTGTCCAAGTTATTATTGACAAAGTTTAATGAAGATCCAAGTAAAACTTACGTTTGAGTCTTAACGAATAATGCCAAACAATAACACGCCCTAATAACTATCTTGAGTACATGTTCAGGTAAATTAAAGAAAAATATAAAATCAGCAATCACTATTACCAATAAGTATTCCATGCTCAGTACGGCCATGCTCCTTCAATTTCACTTTTTTTCTCGCCTGAAGGTCATGTAATCGTTTTTGATCAACCTTTAACCTCATATATCGGAGATGCAACCTCTCACTGCTAGGGCTAAAAATAGGGAACTTGATCAGATCCAATGTTGTACCTGTAAAATAAGAATATTTCTTAGTTAACTTTTGCCCAGAACAATTTATTTAACTGCACAATTATAGTCAATAAGGAATTTAAACATTACGACATGCAAAGTCTCTCCCTTGAATGCTATGAAAAGTAAATTTTTCTACCCGGCTTATCAAATATCTTTAAAATTTACTTGAGACAGGGCCATCACTAAGAAAATTTTGGTTTGCAGTTGCAAGACCCATCTTTTTACAATTAGTCAGAAGGTCAGGATTTTTTTAAAATTATTCTTATATTCAAGTTTTAATTCAAGCAAGCATATGATTATATTTTTGATCAAACAAAAAAATTTGCATGCTGGGTGAGTCAACAATTTTTTTTTGAGTTGCGCCAATTTCATTGAGTCGGTCCCGCAACTGCAAATGATCAGTTTTTTAGTTATAGTCCAGTCAAGGCAGTCATTTTTTGTTTAATCACATATAATGATTTTGAGGCCAAAATGCATTTTGTCCTCCAGCTGCTTCTTTATGACAACCCTGTGTACCATGAAATGTTTTATTAAAGATATTTCTGAAAATCAAAATCTTAATTGAAGTGTCGATATACTTAAACTGTTATACACATGTAATTACTTATTGAAAATAAGAGTAGTTCATCACAAAACATCTGGAGTAATGATTCTTTTTTTTATGTTGGCCAATTAGGTAATTATACATCTTTCACCTATACAATATAATTCAAAACTTAAAAGGCAGAAACATAAAATATTAACTGTACAAAAGTAATGCATGTTTTTTTCAATGTTGGCCAATCAAGTAACTGTATCACTTTCACATACTGTATTATACAACATACTTTTAAAGCTAAATGGAAGAAGTAATGTTTATTCACTTACCAGGCCATTTTGACACTGTTGCTCTCTGTACAATATCTCGACATGTGTGTTTACAATAATCAGATGCTAAGAAAGTGTTAAACAAGGTTGATTTTCCAGAATTTGTAGTTCCCACTAAGTACACATCACCTGTAAAAGAACAAGAAGTGTAAGGTTTTCTTGAAACTAAAACACAGATTTTAATCAGAATCTGTACCAAGAAATTTTCATCCTATCACCAGGGCCAGACATTAGGACCCAATTCCAAACAAGATATGTTTGTAAAACATGTATGCCCCCTATCAGCAGCCAATTAGTCATGTGATAAGGTTATAATGCATGACTTCTGACCCAGTGATCAAACAATTAATAAGGGTTATAAAGTATCTACTGGTCATGACTTTGACCCCTTGACCCAAAACTCAATAGGGTCATCTGCTGGTCATGACCAATCATCATACAAAGTTTGAAGTTCCTAGCCTAGGCGTTTTTTTAGTAAATTGATCAGAAACCGTTTTTACCTACAAGGTCAATGTGACCTTGACTTTGACCCCTTGTACCCCAAAATCAATAGGGTCATCTGCTGTCATGACCAATCACCAAGCCTAGGTTGAAGTTCCTAGGCCTAAGGTTCTCTTATTATTGATCGGAAACCCGTTTTAACATACAAGGTCAATGTGACCTTGACCTTTGACCCCAAAAATCAATAGGGGTCATCTGCTGGTCATGACCAATCAACATGCCAAGTTTGAAGTTCCTAGGACGAACGTTCTTTAGTTATTGATCAGAAAACTGTTTTTTACTTACAAGGTCATTGTGACCTTGAACTTTGACCCTTAATTCCAAAATCAATATGAGTAATCTGCTGGTCATGACAAATCACCATACCAAGTTTGAAGTTCCTAGGCCTAAGTGTTCTTGAGTTATTGATCAGAAACCGTTTTTACTTACAAGGTCAATGTGACCTTGACCTTTGACCCCTTCACCTAAAACTCAATAGGGTCCTGTCAGGGGGGGGGGGGGGGGGGGGGCCATCTGCTGGTTCATGACCAATCATCACACACAAAGGTTGAAGTTCCTTGGGCCAAAGCGTTTTTAGTAAATTGATCGGAAACCGTTTTTTACCTACAAGGTCAATGTGACCTTGACCTTTGACCCCTTGACCCCAAAATACAATAGGTCATCTGCTGGTCATGACCAATCACCATACCAAGTTTGAAGTTCCTAGGCCTTAGGGTTCTTTAGTTATTGATCGGAAACCGTTTTTACCTAAGAGGTCAATGTGACCTTGACCTTTGACCCTTTGACCCCAAAATCAATAGGGGTCATCTACTGATCATGACCAATCACCATCTCAAGTTTTGAAGTCCCTAGGTCTAAGGGTTCTTTCATTATTGATCGAAATCGTTTTTACCTACAAGGTCAATGTGACCTTGACCTTTGACCCCTTAACCCCAAAATCAATAGGGGTCATCTGATTGGTCATAACCAATCACCATACCAAGTTTGAAGTTCCTAGGCCTTAAGTTTTTTAGTTATTGATTGGAAACCGTTTTTACCTACAAGGTCAATGTGACCTTGACCTTTGACCCCTTTGACCCCAAAATCAATAGGGGTCATCTACTGATCATGACCAATCACCATACCAAGTGTGAAGTTCCTAGGCCTTAAGGTTCTTTAGTTATTGATCGGAAACCGTTTTTGCTTAAAAGGTCAATGTGACCTTGACCTTTGACCCCAAAATCAATAGGGGTCATCTACTGATCATGACCAATCACCATACCAAGTTTGAAAGTTCCTACCGCCTTAAGGTTTTTTAGTTATTGATCGGAAACCGTTTTTTGCTTTCAAGGTCAATGTGACCTTGAACTTTGACCCCTTGACCCCAAAATCAATAGGGGTCATCTACTGGTCATGACCAATCACCATACCAAGTTTGAAAGTTCCTAGGCCTTAAGGTTCTTTAGTTATTGATCGGAAACCGTTTTTGCTTTCAAGGTCAATGTGACCTTGAACTTTGACCCCTTGACCCCAAAATCAATAGGGGTCATCTACTGATCATGACCAATCACAATACCAAGTTTTGAAGTTCCTAGGCCTTAAGGTTCTTTAGTAATTGATCGGAAACCGTTTTTGCTTTCAAGGTCAATGTGACCTGACCTTTGACCCCTTGACCCCAAAATCAATAGGGGTCATCTACTGATCATGACCAATCACCATACCAAGTTTTGAAGTTCCTAGGCCTTAAGGTTCTTTAGTTATTGATCGGAAACCGTTTTTCTTGCTTACAAGGTCAATGTGACCTTGACCTTTGACCCCTTGACCCCAAAATCAATAGGGGTCATCTTACTGATCATGACCAATCACCATACCAAGTTTGAAGTTCCTAGGCCTTAAGGTTCTTTAGTTATTGATCGGAAACCGTTTTTGCTTTCAAGGTCAATGTGACCTTGACCTTTGACCCCTTGACCCCAAAATCAATAGGGGTCATCTACTGGTCATGACCAATCACCATACCAAGTTTGAAGTTCCTAGGCCTAAGGGTTCTTTAGTTATCACTCGGAAACCATTTGGTCTACGGACCGACGGACCGACAAGTGCAAAGCAATATACCCCCTTTTCTTCGAAATGGGGGCATAATAAGAAGTCATATTCTTTTATCTAAATTTTAAAAAGCTTCCCTTAAAGGCACCACATTATCACAAGTTTCAACTTCTTGAGAAAAAATTAATTGTTTTGATTTGTTTCTTACAAGAAGTAATAAAATTACTAATTACACATACCAAAAACATGTCCATGTCTGATCAGTTTATTTATAAGCTCCTCAATACCATATCCAGTTTTAGCGCTCACTAAACATGTGTGGCGAATATTTGTTCCACATGGATTCAGCTCGGCTCTGCGACATTCTTGATTGAGACGGCTTAATATTCCATTCAAATAGCCTTTATAGTCTTTTGGTATCAAGTCTATTTTATTCCCTACGATAATTATTGGTCTACGTGTTCCGATGTCATGTAAGAACTCTGGTATAATACTATTAGCCATGTCTGTTACATCAATCACCATGACAATAAGAGCTCTCTCCTTTTTAATCTTTTTTATTATCTGCTTATAAGTCGTTTTATCTATATCCAATTTGATGATGTCATTTGAACTAGACATAATAGTACATCTCTTACACAACAAAGTCGCTAACTGCTCGGTCTTCTTCCCTTTAAACTGTTGCTGAGGAATATAACCTGGTAACGATGGATTATTGCAATGGAGAAATGCACCACAACCGCCACATGGTACCGTAGAAGCCATGTGCTGCTCGTCCGGCGTACCAATCAAAACTTTTTTAGCAGCATGATAGGGTTCCTTGCTTTTCTCCCGCAATTCTTTCTGCATAATTTGATGTTTTAATTTTAAGGCCTTCAAATTTTCTATATCAAATCTAATAGTTTCTAAATTGTCTTCAAATATTTTTGAATTTTCATCTTTATTTTCGTAAGTAAAGTGCTGAAGAGCTATAGGCAAAGCTCTCTGCTTGGTTTTACTTTGTGTCTCAATAGGAGCCTCTCTGTCTCCATCTTTTCCTTTATTCCTTGACCTTCTATTGAAATGAGTACGAATACAAGGTTTGTCTGCAAGTGTTTTTGACACCACAGAAATTTGAAGTCTTCTGAAGGAATTTAAGCAATGCATACTTCATTACTTGTTAACTGAAATAGAAAGCACATCATTATCAACCATATATTTTAAACACAGAGACCATTGGCACCAAAATGCTAACCTAAGGACAGAATGGTAAAACATTTTCTAGTTATGAGCTTGACAAGCTTTAAGTGGACATTTTGCCTCCGTGACACAGATTTTAAGTGTATGACATCATAGCTTCCTCGTTATATTTAGATATACCTATAGCTCTGTGCCTTTAGTGTGAGCTTAACTGTACTAAAATATACATAGGCCTGGGGTGCCTTAAGGTAGTACAGTACCCAGGACACCAATAATCCACCAGGGCTCTCAGTAGGGTCAGAATAACTTCAAAGATCTTTGGTCAAAATTTTCATGAGGCAAATCAGTTTTTTCTTGTGTCATTTGACTTCATGAATCATTTTCATGTTACAATAAAGGTAAAGCAGATAACTGAATGGGAAGTCATTTTGGGTGGGTTGATAATATTTAACATGGAAAAAGGCCTAGCTATATTCCTTAGAATTACAGACAGGGCGGACTGTGAGACAGGGCGGACCGTACCAGGGCAGACCGTGACTCGAGACTAGGTGAACCATATTTTGGGACAAGGCGGACCGGCACTTGAGACGAGGCGGACCGTGATTTAAAAACATATTTATATGTGGACTAATGTAATAAAAGTATTAAATCATGATGTTTTTGTTTTGTATTAATATTTGAGTGCAAATATAAAAGTAAAAATATAAAATACAGTAAGTTTTAAAAGTTCCTGGATGTGTCTTATTGTTTAATTCTATTTCAGTGTTCTTTTTATTTTATTTTGTATCTGTGCTTATTATGTAAATTTTATTAAAATTTACATATAGTTTTGTTCTTTAAATATGTCACTTCAATTTTTGTTATTGGGTTGTATTGCAAATAATTTTAATGTGATGTAATTTGTTATCATTGTTATTTTGTGTACTGTATAACAAAATATAAATGTTTCTTTATGTGTCTTATTGTTTAATAAATTTAATCAATTTGAGCAGCGTAATATCGCCTTACACAAACAATGACATTGTAATATCCTGATAATTGATCAATTATCACCTGCGTAAGTTGACGCAGTTACAAATAATTTCTTGAAAAAAAAAGTATTAAACTACTCTAATAAATATGTTACATAGAAAGATTTAGATTGAAATATTATAAATCAGTTAGAATACCAAAATTTGTATATCCCAGCATGAATTTAAAGCCCCCATCGCGTATTTTCAATTTATTAAAGTAACATTATTACAGGAGTACATTTTCAAGAAAGTTATTTTGAAATTATATGTTGCTTAACGAAGTTTTTCTCATCTATAATGTGTAATGTAATTTTGGTAATAAAATATTTATTTTCATGTGTTTTTATTCTATAAAAGTTGTAAGTATATTTTTCCAGTTTATATCAATAACGAAGTTATAAAACGTGTTATGTAATTTTGTTAATAAAATATCTGGTTTACGTGTGTTTTTTTTTCCTCAATAAAAGCTTTATTCAGTGGAATTTATTTATGTAATTAACAAATGAAATATATAATATAAAAAAGTTTTCCATCAACAATTTAAAAACAGGTGGAAACATTAAGTTTGTATTTGAACACGTGGCGAATCGTTATTTAACTGTGGTGAATCGTTATTACTCTGTGTCGAATCGTTATGTGGCGAATCGTTAGTGTGGCGAATTGTTACATTACCGTCTCACAGTCCGATCCCTGTCCTGCAGGCATTCCTTATACAAGGGAGATAGATAGATAGGGTTTTTGTCCACCTGGTTATTTTCATGTGAGGGCTTTTGTCCACACGGTCATTTTCACAGGAGGGATTTTGTCAAGACAGAAAGGCTTTTGCTTTATTCTTATCAGAATTTGACAGTTGACAATTTGTCAAAACTGCTCTGACTAAAGTCATATAATCCCCCCCCCCAGGTTATGATAAGAAGCTCGCAACCAATAACTTGTCTGTTGATGGCCGCTGCACAATCCTCCCCTTTTTGGGGATGGGAGTGGAGGCATAGAAAATGAAATTATTTTAGAATATGAACGCTTTAAGCAATATTTATTCAATTTTCGAGAAAAACAGATACCTCGCGAAAATATGTTACATGTTATAAACGGTGCGGGTGCAATAATATTCTCGTAATATTTGCTCTAAAAAATGTGGTTTGCATGAAATTTTGTGAATGACATGACTTTGTTCACCTTCAGTTCTAGCCTCAAATTAATGTTGATGATTTTTTACATGAAAAAAAAGAGACATCTTTGAAATTTAATAATAATATTTCATCAGCGACATTCGGCAAAGTCAAAAACGTCCCGCATGTGTTACATAAACATGGCAGCCCCCACGAGTTTACGGTCAATCTCAAAGTTATCTAGATTTTCAAGAAAATTGTTGTTTAACAACAATTTGAGCCAGAAAAGGTACTGTTATTCATTGGAATTTTTTGTTTTTATTTCATTTCTAACGTCCATAGTGAATGCAAAAATTTATAGTTTAAACTGTCTTTCTCTGAAAATTTCTGATTTGAAATGTGAACTTAAAAATTTGACATTGGGCATTGTAAATGTCAGAGACATAGATCTATGTTTCTGTAAATGTTTTTTTTAACCTGTGACTGTCAGATGATAGTTAATATAAACACAAAGGACAAAGCTCAATTATTCAATCTTTAAAAGGTTCATATGGCACACAATTACAATTATTTTTTTACAACATTTTTCACACCAGATGACTAACCCTTGTACAGGCTGGTGAAAATGCCCGATCGGGGATATGTCGCGGGACCGGCCTTTGACTTCCCGTATTAAATCCAAGTATATTGAATAAAAATTAACACAGACACTTGGAGTATGGACCCCGCCCTTCTCCGCCCCTGAATATTAAAAACTTAAAGTATTGTTTATTACAAGAATAAGTTTTAAATTTGTGCTTATTAGTCGCCGGTAGAAACCGGCGACTATATTTGTAACAGTTTAATATTATACCTATGGTAGGAGAAGGCATTAATTTCTGTAAATAAAAGCATTATAATTACTGAACAATTAAAGACTACAATTGTTTTCAGTAATCACAAAAATTCAAACATACAATAACGTTGCTAAATGAAATGAAATATTCAAATATTGACATCGTAAAAAGCAACATTACAATTTTTATAAAATGAATTAACGACGTATCCCTATGGACCAGTCATTGAATTTAGGGATGCTTTTACTTTTTTTTTAAAGTGTCAAGCGTTGAAATTTTATAATAAATAAATCATGCATGATATTTGAAATGGCACTTTTAAATTATCTGGTTGTTTGTATCTTTTGAGACCTATTCTATTTTTTTATCTTATTTATTATAAACAGTTTCTCCCAGCATCACGTGACTACACGTTGTATGTTATTGTTATAAAATCTATTAATAGTAACAAATTGCTGATAAGACAGACAAACAGATGGTTGGCAGCTGATAAAGTGCAAAAGTAGTTTTGAATGAAAAATCGGGTCGGAATCGTATTGGATACAAAGAGAAAACTAATAAACCATCTTTGTGTTGATAGTTTATCGCACTGAAAGGCAATTAAACGTTAACTATATCGTATGTAACGGCAGGAATATTGATTTCAGCCAAATAATATATTTTTTCGATAGTGCATATTAAGAATAATTTTTTTATGCAGACACCACTTTTACAGTAGAATTGCATTGTTTTATAAATGCAGTAATTAATCATATATATTTTCATAGTCACTTTGCAAATATACGATGATCGGTAATAATTTGTCGGTAATTATCGGATGCTGAAGAAAACCATACGGAGTTCAAATATATGGTACAGCGGTATATGTATAAAGTAGAATTATAATCATATCATTTGCTTTACAAGCATCGATGACAAGGTGTTAGATTTTAAGTTAGTTTCAAATTGAAGACTGTATAGGTTCGATAAAGTGATTTTTTATGTTTTCTTTTATAATAATTTTTGTATTTTGCAAAACTTGACCGTTTATCAAAATTATGAAATAAAAAGTGCTAGAAATGAAACACACGATTTATCAACTTATGTTTCATAAAGTTAAACGATATAATAAAAATCAATTTATGAAAACTACACACAGGATTTGTCCGAGTTTCGAACTTGCGCCTACTACATGTAGGTTACAACTTCGTCATACTTACCACTAGGCCATCGAGCAGTATTAATTGATATAATTATACATGTAATTATACTAAAAAATAAAATCGTTAACATTAACCATAATAAGTTATGTAAGCAAACGGAACAGCTCCCGAAAATTATTGAGTCTCGGGTAAATATTGCCAAACAATAATTGCTTATTTAATAATGATAACAGTTTTTTGACAAAATTGCTAAGCAAGTTTGCTTCAAATATGATGTTTTATTATAACATATATAACATAAATTTATTGCATAAAACTCTCAGCAAGAAAGATATAATTGTGACAAGTAAATGAAAACGTGTTTATGAATAAACATTACTCAACTTATTGTTCCTCTTTTCTTTATACTCGAACCATTAAACTGATATTTTCTTTTATTTATGATAATACAATCATATTTCTATCCGGCGACTTGATGCTTTAGCATCAAAATCTCTACTTGTATTAGTATGAGACGGTTAAGTGTCTAACACATGATTGAACAAGTTTGAATAGAATTTCATAACCTTTTAAAAAAGTCAATTTTTTTCCAATGCTTCAATTTCCTGAAGATACCAAGCTTCGAAATGTAAACACAACTGACCTACATATATTTCAGGTATTTATGTTATCGCATGCCATTTATTTCTGATGTAAATCAGTCGATGCATATATTCCTTTAATAAATAACTGCATGTTATTATCAGATCGTACCTTTCTTCCAAGCTTTGCACATTTAATTATATTTTCATAACTGAGTCACATGCTTCTTTACGAATTCATGACCACTGGAATGTTTCCCGTAAATTACAGCGGGAAAATCGCTGGGAAAAAGAAATTCAATTGCAACTACTCGGCCCTTTCCGTCAGTCTTCTTGATTTGGTTTCTGTACTGATTAGGGGAAGTAACCGCTGCGAGGTTTTGGTTCTCGGCATGAAAATGAAAGCGCAAAACAGTGCCGAAACTCATTCCAGTCATCTCACATCAAAGGAAAGCGTACGTTGTTATCTTCATGAAATTATGATATTCTAGGGACTTTTTTAAACGTGGTTAAAATAGGGGAAAACATGTTTTATGTTCAAGACATGTGACCAGGTCGTAATAATATGCAAAAATATTTTGACGTACGGTTTGCACGATAAAAATAGGCATGGTGTATACAAGTGCGGATCAAGAAGGGGAGCCACGCACATTACCCCAAGCGTCTGTGAAAATTAAAGGTACTGGCGCAATAACTTTGAGCAAAATGAAGATGTTAGACACATTTCTGTTAAGAATTTTACATTGCAACATATTTTTTAAGGACTTCAAAAATTTGTGTCATATAAACATGAAAAAAGGGGAAATAATTCTCACAAAAGTGACAGTAACCAATTATTTGTCTTTCTGTTTATGTCATATATTATGCTCATTAAACAAACAAAGTTTAAAAGAAATATTTTTATTATTTTTCTAGAAAGATGAGTTTTTATACATAAGCCCGATTGGGCGTTGTAACTATGTATCCCATAGGGGTGAAAAAGAATTGTGTTTTTAAGACACAAAATCACAATTATTTTTCACCCCCACATGACAAGGGACACATGGATACAAGGGTTACAGTTTACACACAGTTACAGTGGGATACAGTTATGACCATTAAGGGATAGTTCATTCCATCCCTCGATTGTACGTGGTATATGCTACATTTCTTTAAAGGGATACTCAGGCAAATTAATGACAAAAATATTAAAATGATCAAATCACATTAAAATGACATTTCTTAAAAGTCCAAGCATGAATTTTTGTATAAATTCTATATTTTGAGTTTGAAGTATAAATATATCTATATATTTTGAATGAACTTAGACACCAACAGAATCAATGAGTAGTTTTAAAACATGTCATGTGACTTAAACAAACCCTAGAAGTTACAGTAACATACATTGTGGATATTTAATGATTGAACATGTCTAAGTCATATACACCACTCTCAAACGTGTTTCCTGTCCACATTAACTAATTTGCTTGCCTTGTGTTTACCAACTTGCTCGGCAATATTAACAACTTTTGATTTAAATGAAGCGATGTAAAATCAATGCATTGGTAGCTTTTGCTCCATGATCCAGCAGTTAAATTTCATGCACTGCTTAACCTCATCGTTATGTATACTGTTATTATACATTGTCTACACATTTATAGATCAATTACGTCACCGAGCCACCTGTGAGACAGATAAACATGACTGAGGTCACGTAGACCATAAACTGATGCTGTTTACATGAATTAATCTGGCATAGCTTGATTTGAATCGTTCTAGACCGAATTTTGGATTTAGGAAAAACTATTTTTTAAAAAACCCTTTAGAAAATGTTACGCCCCCAGGGGCATTTAATAGGAATTTTACGGTATTTAAAAATTATATCAGAACAAGTAGTTCAAATTGAAAGACAGACAAGTCCTTTAAGACAATTAACTGTTGGTTAAAAGCGTTAAAACAGAACCAAATGACTGTGTAACATGATATTAAGAGACCTGAGTTTATTATGATTGCTGTACTGCTGCTATCTGTCAAAAATAAGGGAAGTAATAGGCCTTTTTAGCCATTTTGGGTAACACAGTTTGGGAAATTTTGCATTGTAAAATAAATTGATTGTTAAAGATAATGGGTACTTTTTGGAACCTACTTTTATGCATTTTTAGTGCAGTATTTTGAATTATGTGACCAATAAGTATGGTCTGGTAATCTTGCCCTTGGTGAAACTGGGAAAAGTAATTAGTAAATTTGCAATGTCTTAAGACAAACAAAAATTTTTACAGTTACAGCTTTGAAATTAAGTGCACCATGAAACTGGAATGCTAAAGTTTGAGGAATTAGCATGGAAAACCCCACATTTGCTGGTTTCTGATAACCTCTATAAATTTCTAAACTTCTTATTTTAGTAATGAGTTATTTTTCAAATTTCAGACATGGTTTGTATTCATTTTCTACTGTGACTGAGAACAAGCAAGCAGCTGATAAACCAGAATCATCACAAGAACCTGAAAGTAAAGAAAAGGAAGCACAGGTTCCCTCTGGACCCACTGAGCTGGAGGAAAAATTGACAAAAGAAAATGAGAAACTACAAGGTGATTTGAAGGAAATGAAGGTAAATGTGCTAAATGCACAAATGAACTTTAAATAGACATATATCTAAAAAAACAATTATGATTAGGCACAGATTGTTTGTAGGCACTGTGTACTCAATTTTGCCACTGTTCAAAAAGATTTATATTAATAACCAAACTAAATTTTTGTTTTTTGCTTAACATAGAAGCAGTACATTAGGAATCACAACTTTGGTTTTTATTTACATTTGTGTATAAACAGACACAAAAAACAATGATTATGCATATGATATTCATTAATCTTTTTATATTCGAAATGATATAGAATTGAAATTTGTTCATTAAACCATATTTATACTGAAAGAAAATATTTAGCCGAACTACTGGTCCCCTAAATAGTGTTTATCATGAATAGGGAAACAAAGAGATTTGTTAATCTGGCCTTACCATACAAAGATACATGATGTATTTCTTTTCATTTTGGTGGCCTAGACAAGAGGCATGCCAATTTAAGATAGGGAATTGTTTGGTTTGTAGATAATTATACATGTACATGTAATTATATTTTATGAAGTCAGTTTCTATATGCATGCCTGATTTAAATGGTACAAGTTTGTGCAAAGATTTGTTAAAGGGCTGATTAGCTACAATGTATGTGTACTAGGAAAGGTGCATAGCGTTCACCTGTGTTTTTACCTGGTATTTTATCATTATGAACGCATTATTTTTGGAAGCTGATACTCTTCTACATATAACCCAAACTTAAGTGTCAATTAATATTTGTTCAAATGTAGATTGAATTACATGTATATTTTAGAAAAGTAGAACTTTTTTACAGTTTCAAGCAGTGCCTCTGAGTTTCAATGTAAGCATAAAGGATAACTGAACTTTTTGTGCCCCCACGTTAGTTGCGGGAATTTAGATTTACCCTTGTCCGTTCGTCCGTCCGTTCACTTTTGTGTCACACGTAACTCAAAAAGTATTTGACCTAGAGTCATGAAACTTTACAGGAATGCTGATCAGCATGTGTAGTTGTGCACCTGGGTATTTTCGTCTGGATATTTTTAGTATTCTCAGAGTTATTGCCCTTGACTTAGTAAAATTTTGCAATTTTCAACTTGTGTCACACGTAACTCAAAAAGTATTTGACCTAGAGTCATGAAACTTTACAGGAATGTTGATCAGCATGTGTAGTTGTGCACCTGGATATTTTCGTCTGGATATTTTAAGTATTTTCAGAGTTATTGCCCTTCACTTAGTAAAATTTTGCAATTTTCAACATGTGTCGCATGTAACTCAAAAAGTATTTGACCTAGAGTCATGTAACTTTACAGGAATATTGATCAGCATATACAGTTGTGCACCAGGTATTTTCATCTGGATTTGTTTAGTATTTTTAGAGTTATTGCCCTTCACTTAGAATTTTTTTTCAATTTTCAACTTGTGTCGCAAGTTACTGAAAAAGGATTTGACATATTCATTCAACCTTACGGGCAGGTTGCTCAGCATATTTAGATTTGAACCTGGGGTTTCGCTTGTGGATTTATCCAGTATTTGTAGAGTTATTTCACTTGACTTAGTAAAAAGATTGGCAGAACAGTGGCGCGGTGGGGGCACCCGTGTCCTATGGACACATTTCTTGTTATTTCTGCAATCAACTTGGGGCTATTGTCATAATTAATATGTTAAACTGTCTTAAATTTCACTAGAAAATCTTATATTTGCTAAAATATGAAAATTCATTTTTTAGGAGAAATACATGCGTGCACTGGCGGAAACTGAAAATGTTCGTAAACGAATGAAAAAACAAGTTGACGAGACAAAGGTGTTTGGAATTCAAGGTTTCTGTAAAGATCTCCTGGAAGTTGCAGATATATTAAATCAAGCAATGGACAGTGTACCTAAAGATGAATTAGATAAAAACGTACACCTCAAGTCACTTTTTGAAGGTCTTACAATGACAAACAAACAAATGGTTAAAGTATTTGGTAAGCACGGACTAACAAAAATCGAACCCAGAGTTGGTGACAAATTTGATCCGTTTTGTCACGAGGCGCTCTTCCAGGTGCCGGTTCAAGGTGATAACAAGCCAGGCTGCATTGCGGATGTGCAGAAAAGCGGTTACCAGCTTCATGATAGGACTGTTAGACCAGCAATTGTAGGCGTGTTCAAATCATGATGCAGAATGCGACGGAGTTGAGAGAAAACAATCAGAACAAAGTGTACAATTAAATTCAGATGCCAATTTAAAGTTATTTAGTTACTGTTATGGTAATTCAGTTACTGTTATGGTAAAAATACTTGCTACACGAAGAACGAAAGGAATAAGGGAGAAATGAAATAAAAGTAATTTTTTGTGATTAATATATTTCTAAAAAGTGTGCTTAATTATAATATTTTCAACAGACACAAGGTCACTGTTGTTGACATGGTTTTCACTATCCAAAATATGTAGATAGAATTACTTGTATAGATGTCTAAAAATGGTTGGACAGATAAAAGATGAAAAACTGAACTTGTAATTTAAACAGAATTGATTAAAAATGCAGACATTTCATATTGGAACAGTTCAAGGTATTCTGAGATTGTTATTAGAATCAACATGGATTAGGCAATATGCATTCAAACTGAACATTGTGGTGAATGTGTCCATTCCAGGAAATTAAGGGAACCAAAATATATTATTTGCATGAATATTCTTGCTTTATGAATGGAAAAGTTTATATTTAATGTTTGAACAGTGAAAAAATAAATATTCATTAGTTCATCGGAAAACTTCAACAAGGATTGTTTTTATTTCTTTCTGCAGGCCATTACAGTCACACTAAAAATGTTTTAAGTTCTGAAGTCTTTTGCAATATATAATGGATTTTCAATGAGTATAAGTTTAATATTGAATTTATTGAAAGAGTTGAATAAAGATCGTTTGAAGAGAAAAAGAACTATCTTTCATTGGTGCGCCTATAGTTTAACAGCAAGTCTTACCACTCAGTTTATATAATGAAAATGATATCACATCAAAATGTATGCATGGCTGTGCAATACTATTTTCAAGGAGTCGTGAAAGTGGCATGGTTTATTTATGTCGACTAGTTTTGGACAATACTTGACCTTTCACAAGGACTTAATTGTTACAATTGCTAAATTGTTACAATTTACCTATTAATAAAGACATTACATGTATAAAGTTGCAAATAAATGCTGATGAAGTAAGCTGAACTGGCAGGAGAAGGTTCAGGATGGGGTTTCATTTAAAAGAAAACCAGCACTGTAAAATAAACTAGATCATTACACTGCAGGAATGTTTCAAACTGTCAATCTTACCTTTCTTTTAAAATAAAGACAAAAATGTTTTATAATTCTTAAATGATTTACATCCATAAACTTAAGTATATTTTGAAACACTTAGAATTCTGTGAAAATTGGATGAAAAAAATTATACTAAAATTAATATTTCTAAATAATGTTAAAATTCACACTGATGTCTGTAAAAAGATATGAAATTTGTATCAATATAGAAATTATGAGGGGAGGGGGGAAATGTTGGCATGTTCGTGATATTATGTTGTAATAAATCAAAAATAGTTTGAGTTTGTGTTGACTTCATTGATTTCTGTATGTCTATCTGTATAGAGTTAATACCATCTATAGATAATTGATATAGAGTTAATGACCTTCTAAAAATTAGAAGAAAAAAGGGGGATATAGAAATAGGCTCTGTCCGTCATACTTTGTGTCAGGTCCATAACTTTGTCATTTATCAAAGGAATTTGAAATAACTAAGCACAAAAGTTTGTTATGATAAGACGATGTGTCATGCGCAATAACCAGACCCCTACCTCCAGGGTCAAGGTCACACTTGCTCATTCAAGGTCAACATTGTCTATTTAAGGGTATATGTCGTGTCCGGTCTATAAGTTCTTGAAGGGATTTTATAAACACTTGCCACAATTGTTCACAACAATGAGATGATGTGCCATGAGCAACAGTCGATCACCTACCTCCACGGTCAAGGTCACACTTGGAGGTCAAGATTAACATAGTCTGTTATAGGGTATATTTTGTGTCCCGTCCATAACTTTTTCATATATCAAAGGATTTTGAAAATTCTTGGCACAAGAAGTCACTATAATAAGACAATATGTCATGCGCAAAACCTGTATCCCTACCTCCAAGGTCAAGGTCTTAGAGGTCAAAAATTAACGCAGTCTGTAGTAGGTTATATATTGTGGTGATCTAGAGCTTCTTCATAGTTCAAGTGATTTTAAAAGATCTTGGCACAAATAGTCACAATAATAAGATGATATGTCAAATACAACACCCGCACCCCTACCTCCAAGGTCAAGGTCACACTTAGAGGTCAGAGTCTGTTATATGGTATATTTTGTGTCCCATCCATAACTTCTTCATAGATAAAGGGATTTTGAAAATACTAAGTGGCACAAATGGGCACAATGATAAGATGATATGTCATGCATAACACCTGTGTCCCTACCGTCAAGGTCACGCTTAGAGGTCAATGATTTACAGTCTGCTATAGGGTATATTTTGTGTCCAGTCCATAACTTTTTCATAAATCAAGGGATTTTAAAAATACAATGCACAAATAATCACAATAATAAGACAATATGTCCGGCACAAAACAAGGGTCCCTACCTCCAAGGTCACATTTAAAGGTCAAAGGTGAAAGGTATATTTTGTGTCCGATCTATAACTTCTTCATAGTTTTAGGCATTTTGAAAATACTTGACACAAATAGTTACAATAATAAGACGATATGTCATGCACAACACCTGCACCCCTACCTCCATGGTCAAGGTCTTAAAGAGGTCAAAGCTTAACATTATAGATTTTAAAATTCCGTGTTTCATTTTATTTCTTTAATAAATTTATTGTTGCATTTGCAGATCTAGCACAGATCATAATTTTGGACTAAAAGTCCTGAGGTCCATACCTCAATCTTTTAAAATAGCACATTTTAATGCTTCATATAAAACTTCCCAGAGGTGGTAACTCTGTTACAAATTCTTGTTTATAAAGTGTTAATGCCCTCCTATGAATTATTAATATAGAGTTAATGCACTTCTATAGGTACTTTATATACAGCATCAATGCCCATGCAAAAAAAAAATATGTATACATACTTAATGCCCTTCAATATAACACATGTAGATTATTGCAAGGGAAAATACTCTACAGATCATTTATTTAAATAGCTGATCCAAATAATTGTCTTACCAAGTATGTTTAAAATGGTACAAGCTTTACAATAGTCTTAAGGTCACTATTTCCAAGGCAATTGAGGTCTTCCAGCACCAGTAAAGATGGAATGTTATTGTACGACAACACACGTTACTTCACTTTAGGAGAAATAACTATATTGTGTAAAGCATAATTCCGTGGGATATCAGTTTTAGAAGTCTTATTCTAAAAAGTAATTGATTAATATTAGTTTTGAGAAGTGTGGCATTGAAATTGTGACTGTTGGATTATTAGTTAGAAATACCACTTGACCACTGCACCTATCTAATTCAGGTTAATATGCTGTCAGTTTAATGAGTTAGGTGGCCGGTATCATGTTAGTCTATGGTGTATAATTTTTATTATAATGTAGAGCATAATGCTTACTGCTATACATAAAATCTGTTACCAATTCCATTGAGAAATATTTAAAAAAACAAATATTTTAGGGCAATATCACTAATATGCTGTTAACATAAGACACTAAGCATATTAGTGATATTGCCCTAAAATATTTGTTTTTTTAAATATTTCTCAATGGAATTGGTAACAGATTTTATGAATAGCAGTAAGCATTATGCTCTACATTATAATAAAAATTATACACCATAGACTAACATGATACAGGCGACATATACATTTTCAACAGGTTAAAACCAGATGGGAATTGGAAATTAAAAAACGAAAATACATTCTTTTTATCTGAACTACCAGGGTAGATATTTAAAGTAGAACAAATTACTCAAAAGATTGTCAGTTTTTCAGTAGCAACTGATATTATCTAAAATTTAAAAAACCTTTTTTATCATTTTTATTGACTTAACAATGAGGTACAGTACAGACCACGATCAGATTACCCTCAACTTGGTTACATGGGAGGTGTCAGTTGCCACCTACAGGCTAAGTGTTCTGCAAACAACAATGCCAAAATCACTCAAAAATAACAACACAAAAGTTTCCAGAATTTCAGATGTTTATTTAGAAAACTTACTACAATTTTACCTCAAAGAAAAGGCACGTTTTTCAAAGATAAAAAAGAACACATGATATTCAGCATATGTTAATTGCTGCAGGAATAAATTACAATTGTACCATAAACATAAAGATATAGTAAAGAGTTATTGCCCCTGAATTATTGTTCAGGACTTATTATATCAGTTGTGAAGTAAAATAAATTTCTAAGAAAAATCCTGACAGTTTATATGACCTTGTATTTATGGTTATGTACTATTACAGCCATTAAAACAACTTGGATTTGGCCATATAACCTGTCAAAAAAATCTTTACAATTAATCTTTACAATACACAAACTATAGTGTTGGTCATATAACAATAAAAACTCTATTGTAACAGTTTAAAACTGATATCTTTTTATCTTTCAAAGACAACCTCAAAATGGTCTAAAAATTATTAACCACATCTTATTATTAACTTGTCTTCATTGATGTACCTAATAAGCTATAAGAATATTTCTTTTCGCTACTTTAATTATTTTCTCACATTATGCTGCCCCAAAAAATGTTTTGTATTGATATTCTTCTCTATTTGGAATGCAATTGTTTTTGGTATCAATATGTTTATCCATATTTATTTGTATCTGGTATTTATTTCAATGTATCTGGTATTTAATTTTATCTGCTATTTTTATTGTTTCTGGTATTCAATGCATCTGGTATTCAATTATATCTGCTATTTTGTATCTTGTATTCAATGTATCTGGTATTCAATTATATCTGCTATTTTGTATCTGGTACTCAATGTATCTGGTATTCAATTATATCTGCTATTTGTTATCTGGTACTCAATGTATCTGGTATTCAATCATATATGCTATTTTTTGTATCTGGTATTCACTGTATCTTGTATTATATCTGCTATTTTTTGTATCTGGTATTCAATGTAATTTGTATTATATCTGCTATTTTTATTGTTTCTGGTTTTCATTTAATATAATATCTGGTGTTCATTTTGCATCAGGAATTCAATGCATCTGATATTCAATATTTCTGGTATTTAACTTTATCTGGTATTCAATGGTATCATATCCGGTAATCATTTGTACCTGATGAAATAAGAATTAATTGTTTTGGCCTGACTAGATATAACTTGAGACAGAATATTTCAATGAATGTATGTATGTGGATTTGTATAGGTTTTAGATATGGCAACTTGTCACTTATCACAGACTGGTCGAGATTTTTTGTTCACATCTCCCATTTTCTTTTTGTCATTTCTCTTTTTCTTTTTGTACTAAAACTGAAAGCTGCATGTCCAATCATTTTGAAAGGTTAAAACAAAAGATGTTTAATTTGTAAGTTCATGAAAAACATCAAATTAACCATTCAACTGGCTTTCAAGTTTTAGACAAACTTTTTTTTAATTTTTTTTTTAAATTTTATAAACAAACAAAATCACACCTAAAACACTATATTTTTGTTTATCACAAAATTTGTAAAGATTAGAAAAAAATATAAGAAAAGACAAATAAAGTAAGTTAGAAATTAACAAAAAATCAAATAAAAAAATGTGGTTAATTAAAAAATCTAAAACTATATTTGTAAACTATAATTCCAATACATCTCTTCAAAATATAAAAAAAAACACATTTTTCAGACCTCCTTAAACAAAACATGTTGGTCTCCGTCATCTAACCTGTTATAAATAGACTAGGTCATGTGACTGAAAACCAAACTATTTTTAGAACGGCCCTATAAACAAAAATTATACAATAATATTTGTTAGTCAAACAATTATTTTTTTTGTTATACGACTAATTTTAAACAAGTAGTATATTAACATAACACTGAAATTTTTATATTTAAGGTATTTCCTTGATTATAAAACAAGCATTCCTAAGAATAGGTTCTTACTTTGCCAATTCTTTGATCGAACTAAAGATATACGAAAAAAATATATAAAAAGATGTTTACTTTTAAATTATTTTATGTTAAAAGTGTTAGTTTTCACTAAACAAATTGTAAATAGAATAATAAAATACCTGAATGATTAAAATTAAAATATGAATTGGCATTTTTAGCGGAAAACAAAAGTGACAATAAGATTTTTTAAAAAGACATTACAAGTCATTCATTCATTCAATAAATCAATCAATCATTCATTCATTTATTCATTCATTCATAAATTTCGAAAGCATTCACACTGTCAAATTAAGGTTACAACTTTTACTGAATCTTCCAAACTTATTTCATATGTTAAAAAAAAAAATCATGATTTTATTTCTACTTGGTGTATTGATTTTAATTCCTGGATTTAATATTTGTTAGAAAATCTGTTAGCTTTTCTTAAAATAAAACAAAAAAGGTCATTGTTCTCTCTTTTAGGCCTGTAATAATAACACTATTCCAAAAGACTAATTGATTTTACTTTAACTTTTTAGCTTTAACTGCAATTAAAGATGTGGTTCAACATACAAATTTCTTGTAATTTTGTTACAATATAAAATTTACAAATAATTGAAGATTTTTTTCCCCACTGACATTGATTTTTCAAATTGTACTTTTGGTCATTTTCTTAGTTAAAAATATATTACTAGCAACCTGACACCACTTATTCTACAATCACCCACACTATCAGACGATTATAAAACAGACATTCATAAAATCAAAACCCATTAAAATAAATCACAAAAATCATAAAAGTTAAAAGGATTGAAAATTATAAACTTTAAATTAAAAAATAAAAGGAGGGAACAAAGGGTTTGGGGGAAAATTTTTGGGAAACAAAATTTTATGGGAAAAGCCCCTTGGGCCCCCCACTGCCCCTCAGAACAAAAAACACTTGAAATTTTACCCATGCTGTTTTAAAAAATTTAGGGGCCGCCAAAAAATTTTGGAAAATTTAATGAAAAATATGATAAAATAATATATTTAATAATAAAAAATTTACAAAAAAAATTTTACATCAAAGAAAGGGAAATAAAAAATTCCAGTTAATATTTTAAACACATTTTTTCAAAAGGCTTTCCCATTCTTACGGGGTGTTGAAAAAAAAAGGGTGTCCTGTGCTTTTTAAAATTCTGAAAAAAAAACAAACTTTTTTTCCCTTTTCAGATTTTTTCCCCCCCGTTTAAGGTCGGGGAAAAACCCCCCTTCCCTTTGGTTTTGTAAAAAGGGAAAGGGGGTCCAAAAACCTTGTAAATTTTTTTCCTTGCCCCAGAAATTTCAGGGGTCATTTAAAAATGCTTTGAATGTTCAAAAATTTTTTTTTTCCAAATTTTTTTTACTCAAAAAAAAGAGTTCCAAAAAGGTTTTTAGCCTTTTTTTTTTGTCATAAAAATTTGGTTCAAAAAATCAAAATACCCCCCCCTTTCCGCCCCATTTCAGAACTGTAACAGCATAATACCGAAAAATTTTCCCAAAAAAAATCCCCTCCCCAAATTAAAGGGCCCCCCTAGGTTTTTTTGATTAGGAAAATCTACTCATCAGTGTAAAACTCAAAAAATTAAAATACACAATTTATTAAAATAAATTCGAAACCCCTTTTTAAATTTCATAGAAAAAAAAAATATTAAAATATGAACTAAAAAAGTTTTAAAATTTTTTAATGTTTTTCCCCAAACACTTTTGTTATGAAAAAAAAGGGTTTGTTTTAAAAAAAATAATAGCCCCCTTTTTTGAAAATTTTTACCCCGGGGGGCCTTTTTTAAAGGGGGAAATTTTTAACGTAAACTACTGCAATTTTCATCAAAATAAACCCATTTTCAACATTCAAGAAAAAAAAAAACTGCTTGCATATGATTAAAATGCAAGCACACTAAAATATACTGAGAAAAAATTTAAAAAATAAAATATAAAACTGCTGGTACTAAAAATCTTTGGCATCCATTGATATGATATCCCTTTTGCTTATTCCAAACTATTAAACATGGTATGGACAGTAGCTATAATTTTGTCAGGAACTTTCAAACAGAAAAAAGCACTATTTTCTAAGATATAAAAAGAAATCTTTAAACATTAAATTTTTCCATAATACATAATCAAAAATTTTAAAAACTGCTAAATATATCTTTCAAAATACTTGCAGAAATAACAGAAAAATGCTATATTCTTAACAATTATGCATAATTATATATTTAAATAAAAATTCAAATTGTATATTTAACACTTAACAGCAAATAGATGTTTCAAAATCTGATTAAATTAACCATATTCCTATCACTTCAATTTAAACATAATATTCTAAAATATTCTCAAAAATGAGAAAAATTGAAGAAAATCAAGAAAAACAAACAACAAATATTTCAGCATTCATAAAAATAAAAGACAAACAAAACAACCTTAAAATTAATTCTTAACCATATATATTTGCAAGATACAGGATTACAGACCCTAATGAATAGGTAAATATTGACTGGTGTCACTTGATATTATGATAATCCCAATTTTACTCTCACTTTTTTTATTCGCTTCCCTAATATATATTTTAAGTCAAGATACAGGGTGTTTCCAAAAGTTACATCATTATTTGAGAAAAAAAAAATTAAATTAAATTGATTCACTTCCTGTTTATTCACTGACGAAGAACATACTTGTTCGAAATCGATTTGAATAAAAAATAATTGAATGTACGCGTGTGGTTGGTCTTTTTGGAATCATATCATTATTTGAGACAATTCCAATATGGCAGCGTGTGTATGCCATTAGGGTCTGTAATCCGAAAATTGATCACAGATTATCAGCAGAGAAAATATTTGGCAGCTTGAATTTATTATTATCACATTTTAGCACAATTGCAGATTGGTTCACTGTTATTTACACTCTTCTACCTTCCTAAGACAGTTGGAAAATAATATTGACGACAAGTCTGTTTTGGTTTTTTAAGTTATTTTTGTGATGTTTAATTTTCCTATATTCTATTTATAGAATTGAGGGAGGTATATTTTTTTGCTATCCATTCTATAGTTTACCATGTTGAGTCTGATTCTGAAGGCTGGCACAAACATCTGGATCAAACTGGTAACACTGTAAGAAATAAAATTTTAAAAAAATCTGAATGTTTTAAAACATTTTAAAAATCACAATTTCATAATAAGGATAATAAGTGACAATAAATCATCACAAAACCTGCTTTCCTGATAATATCACAAAAAGGAGCAATATTTGCCCAAAGAAACAAACAAAAACACACACAAGAGCACTGCATGCAGTGTTAACGCTCGTGTGTTAAAAATTCTAAGTTAAAAAGAGACATAACTCCAAAAATATTGCTTTCAGAATTATGCCTCTTGTCTGAAGATTGCACCTTGTCATGATTAGCACAACTCTTGTATGCCATTAGTTTCATAATGATAACTTTTACAATGTTTGAAAAATGGACTTCATTAAAGATTTTGCATGATGACAACAATGACAACAACACCTCAGCAGTCATACAGAGGAACAGACAAGCTTAACAAAAGATAAAATCTGTAAATCCCAATAAAATATGTCAGGGTACATCATCAGATGACAATCCATTTGTGAAAATTTAGTTGTCAATGAAATCTTGAAAGAAATGTGGTACAAGTTTTGCACAGAAGAAGTTGATTTACACTCAACTGCCCATTTGACAAATTTTACCAATTTTATAACCAGAGTTTTTAGTTGGAAAACTTGGGTAACAAGCACCTTAATTTAATCTTAAGACCAATTAGGTTTTCTTATCTAGATTTCATAACCTAATCTCTTGCTAGAATCTTTAGTAATTAGCCTGTACCATCAGTATACAGTCACTGACCAGTCTTACATCAGTGAAGTCTGACCAGGCTCTATACTGTTGGTAGCTCAATATTTGCAATCTTATATTGAAATTCCTGAAACTTTGGATGGAATAGCTGTTCCAGATTTAAAGTGGAGCAAATCAAATACACAAAGTCATCAGGCTAAGTGTTAAATGTAAGACTAGTAAAAGGTATATAACTTGTAAAAATGAATGCAGTCATCTTATCATAGAGTTGATTCTGGTGTATTCTCCCTTACACAGAAATATATGCCAAGTTCATAAGACATAACAATGGCTGTGTACAGGCAAAAGATCAGAATTCTGCATCCAAAACTAACCAAAATTGTCCCTACCCTTTACGAAAATTTCTGACAAGCAGTATTCTTATACTATTAAATATCACTATACATTGAATTTGTACAACCATGTTTAATGATTAGCTTTAAACAGAGAAAATAAGCATAACTCGATCTTTCCTGCTATAATGGTACTGGTGCTTTACATGTATATTGATATGATATATTAAAAGTTTTCAAAATGGCAAACAACTGTTGCTACATGACGTAAATTCATGTCTTTGATTGGCTGTAAGTGACAGAAATACAGTTAAGGTGTGTGCCTTTACTGGCAGATAAATACTGCAAATGTGTGGCCCTTCTGTATAACATTTCTGATATTGACAGGTACCTCAGTATAACTGTATATTTTTTTGATAGATTGGCTAAATAGCTGCTTCATATAAAGATATGAAAATATCTTTAGCAAAAGTCTAACCAACAGCAGTGAGTGCCTAGTCAGAGGCACCTCTTATATTGAAGCAATTGAGATTTTTCAAGTCTCTATCCTTTAGCTTGCCCTAATGGGAGCAGTGGCATAGTGGTATGGGTGTCTGCCTCTCAACCCTGGGATCATTGGTCTGAGCCTTACGCAGGTCAAAACCATGTTTCCTCATGTAACATTCATGTTTGTTAGTTTCAGTACCAGACAGTGGTTCAAATGAGCTTCAAGCTTTCATCACTATTGAACTAATCTATCTTACCCTAGAGTAGTACTTCTTAGCCTCATTTTCATCCTTCTTGACCCCATGACCTGCATGCAAACATCTGGCATAGTAAAAACAGGACATGGCAATGCCTTTACAGATGAATGATGGAAGACAATCTGTCTCTTTTGAAATCAGCCCTACATCAGACAACTGTGAAACCCTGTAAATACAGTAAATCAAGTTTTGCTCACTTATAGATGTTAACCTTTAGAATACTTGAACTAAAAGATGACAACCTTTGGCTTGTCCAGCCTGAATATCCTAGTAGTTAAACTAGGCTTCATACTGTAGGCTGACCAACTTCATTTTTCCATCTTGATAATTCTAAAATTGCTAATGGACAACACCAAAAATGGAAGCTGGACAAGTCCATTTGTAAAATTTAGGAGGATAAGTGGGTAAAGAATTTCACAATACATCAGACATTATATTAGTTATGCAGAAAGCTTAAAAGTAATCTTGAAGTTCCTGTTTATAATTTTTTTAAGCAACAAGTCAACAGTTTCCAGTTACAAGAATTTAGTGACTGTATTCAGTACCAGTACAAACCGGTTTTATCCAGAAATAAATGCCATTTTCTCCACATTTAACATTTAAAGCAGTATTTTAAGAAGAATGACATGAAACAAATTTGAAAGACTAAAACTTACAAAATGCAAGTTTGTAGTCCTATTAATGGAAGGTCAACAGGAACATAGGTTTGAGCAAAAAAGCCTTGATATCTACGAAACAATCAGTGATGCTGTTGACAAACAGGTTGAAAACAGCAAACAGGTTGACAAAGAATGTCTTGATATCCAACTGCTGACAATAGCTGGTAAGTTTCTCACAAGGTATTTGAACATTTAAAAACGTAAATACCTAACTATTAGTCAACATTTAGACATTGATAGTGGAACCAACAAATGCTGCATACTTAAATAGAAAGAAGAAAACAGAAATGTGTTATTTATATTACCTGGAAGCTAGATCTGCAGCTTTGGTGTAAAGCTTTCTCTTGTAGTAATTAGCTACCAGGTTTCCCATGGCGTACACATTTCCCCTGTCTGAGGCCTCTTTCAGACAAACATAGGCAGAATCTTTGTTACTTCTCACTCCCACTCCATACTCGTACATTACACCAAGGGCTCCTGTATAAAACATGTACATAAATTTCATATTGAACAAGTTATCATTCTGTAAAACCTACACCTCTTTAAATACTTGATCAAATACACAGAATATTGGATGATTTTTGATGATATGATCTCAAAAAATGCCCATTAAAGGAACTCCACTGATGTGTAAAGCCAAAAAACGTTACATTTGAAGATCAACAGGGGCACTTAAAATGGTAAAATAAGAAACAGAAAACAAAGAATTATACACGGAATGCAACTGAAAGTCAATATTTAGTGTGATTCCTTGGTCTATTCAGAGAAACTTTAATTTTTAAGTCATTTTGCACAATAAAAATGAATATTCTGGAAAAACAGAGTTATTGCATTATCTAAAACTTTGCAACCAAGTTACTCATATAGACTGACATCTACCTTAGAATTACCAGTCCCTTCATGACAAAAAAGTAAAGTGGAGTCCCTTTAAGAATTCAATGTAAACCCTATCTCACAAGTGCCATATTAATATCTCTCTTTCTGCTTAAATTGTAACAGAAAGTCTTTAACCAAGAACTAGAGTTCTTATAAATACAATGGTGAATAAAACTGTTATGTTATGTTTTATTTGATTAACCTTAAAAGCAAAGATAACAAATCCCATCCCATATCAATCTTGTTTGATAAAAATAGAGGCATGCATTTAATGCTAAAACCCTAAAAAAATGTGCGGCCTGTGCATGGATGTTTTTGTTGTCCATGCAAGTTTTCATTTCCATTAATATTTACTGTACCTGCTTGACGTACTTTGCAGTTTTAATGCAAGAATTGATTTCAAAAGACATTTTACTTGTCATTTAATATAATTATGTTGTTTGTTTGTTTTTTTTTTAAATCAAGGTTGTCTAAATTTATGGTAAAACTGTAATATAAAGCCTCAATCAACAATAATCATTAAACATTCTCATGCCATTATCAAATAAAAATCATTAAATATTCTTTTGGCTTCTTTCTGATAGTTGGGTTAATTAAATCCTGAAATCTTGGGAGAAAAAAATTAATGTTTCTACGATATCATTTTTCCCATTTTAGGAAACATCATGCAAGATTGTACATTTTTTTCATCATTATCATTCTGTTCTGATGATTTTTGAAACAATTCATGATTATTAAAGCTAAAATTTCTTTTGTAGAATGTTTTTAGAGAACTAATGTCATATAATTAAAACAATCACAGTCTCATAATTGAATGGTTGTTTTTGTTTTTTATTCCATTGTCTTTTTGCGTTGCAATGAAGGTCATTGTTTTAGTTTCTTAACATAGTTAACACAGTTTTAATTCTGTTCCACATATTACTTTAACAGGATATAAAACTGAAAAATATAAAGGTAATGCATAGGCACTCTTTACATACAGTTAACATACAGTAGGAAATATTGTTTGTGTTTTTTTTTGGTTTAAAGATATTTATTTTAGCCCGATTGCGAAACAAGTTCTTGCAACTTATATCTATCACTTTCGAGTCGACTTCCTGGAACCAACCAGTACTGGTGTCATATGAAGAAATAATTGGTTGTGACCCAAGTTAAAGGCTCGAACCTATGATCTCTGGGTTGAGAGACAGACACCTTAACCACTAGGCCACAGCTCCCCTTTTTAATCTTAAAAATTGTCTTAATGCATAAAATGTTGCTTAAAGAATAAATAAAGTAATTTAATCAAACTTTAGGCACATAAAATTGATAGATTTAAGTTCGCTGCAATGTTTGAAATCTGTATAAAACTCTTTTTAGACATTAACTGCACAGACATTTGGAGACTGACATAATAAATTCTGTTGTATTTCAACTAATACTTTAACAGTTTTACCTGAGTGTTTTTTCATATTTTTGATATATTTTTTTTAAATTCATTTCACTAATTTTGGGGAGTGTCACTTTGATTGGATTCCACCTGCATTAAGATATCTAAAGTCAATTTGTAACACAAGATACTTGAACAATTTCCTGGGCTATTTTTTTTCATTTTTGGAACTACCATCAGCATTACTAGAATTAGAAAATTTTTCCATATTGGGAATTTTAATGCGACAGAAGCTTTGTATTTAAAATAAAATTTGAAAATGAATTTAATTCCCAGCTGGAAGGATTTAGCATTAATAAAATGTGTTTTTTTCACCTCTGTTTTTATTTTCTTTCTGTTTTTTATTATCTTTTGATCTGAGTTTAAAAAAAAAACCTTTTAAGGAAATTTAAAATAATGCAGCCTGAACTGGGAATTTGTCACTCAATATGAGGGAGAATTTAACTTTTTTGGCAATAGGAAAGCCTCTTGTTATGTGAAACCACAGCCTCCTGTTACAGAAGATAACTTTACATAGACAACAACCTGATTTTTGAGGACTTGCAGTACATTATTATCATTACTGTCAAGTCAACGCAAAATAGAACTGGAAATAATTTCTTATTTAAAAAGAGGAATATAATTTCTTTTCTTAAAAAGAAAAGAAAAAGGAGTTGCTGCCACATACCTTGAGATTCGAGGGAACCATTTCCACAGGCTTCCGAATGCCAAAAGAATGCCTTTGTCAGATTTAAACTATCGTCCCTACAGTAAAACATGCCGAGGGTGGACTGGGCTTTCACACTTGCTTTCGGGTTTCCATCATCAGCTGCCAGAAGCCAGTATCTGAATAGTTTATAGATGTTATTTAATATGAGATGAAACAATGTGACGATGCTATGAGCACCACTTTGCAGTTTAATCAGACTCTATTCTCTTGGCATCGCAGTTTTATCAGTATGACATTAATTTACCCTTACCACACTAAAAAACTTCAATGGGCTTGTCTATTTTTCAGTCTGGACAGAAACCATTCATCATTTTATGGGAGAGTTTCAAAATATTAGTACTAACTGAATAGCAAACAGTGCAGAACATGATCGAGATGTGCCGGCTTAATTAAGTCAGCACTGGTAGCACGGCCAGAATAAGTTGTCACCAGCTGTGTAAAAGGTTTCAAATCAAGCCTGGCTACATACAGATATGACATAACAAGACATTATTGCCACAAGGACCCAGGAAATTACACAATCATATAATGAAACTGTCTTCTGCTGCAAATATTTAAATAGCAATTTCCGCCAAAACAAAACATAAATGATCTCATGCAAAAACTCAATTAAATACCAGAAATTTGATCTGAAATCAAATTCCAGAAACAATTTTTCAAATACTGCCTCTGGCCGGTTTCTAGAAATGGAGATAGAAATGCGAGAGCGTGTCTATTTAAAGAAAGTCATTTCTGTCTCAGGTTTTCATTTTGTCAAGAACTGACTTTCTCTTGTAATAAATTGATATAAAAAACCAATTACAATTTTAGATTACAGTAACTGAAGTCTTTATGGTAATAACCTTCAAACATAATCCAAAATAAAACTATGTACATGTATTCTGATGACTTTACCCATCCTTTATTTAAAGTTTTATCTGGAAATATGAAATACTTAATAACAAATATCTGTTACAGTTATTAAAGGAACTCCACTGAGGTCCAAAAGGCTAAGAATATAAAATTTGAATTTCTTACATAGATCAACTTGGGCATTTTAAACAGAAAGGTATCCAAAAGATTATTTAGAAAATTATATTCACAATAAAAATTTAATAGAAGATTTATTTTTGTACTATTTTAGCCCAATTTGAGTGAAAAGTATTGTAATGCTTTTCAATTTTGGATTATTTTTCACAATTAGAACAAGAGCTGTCGGTAGGACAGCATGCTCGAATATTCTTAGTGCTTGATAGTAAAAAAAATGCCTGATACAGTTACCTCCTCCTGTTTACAGGTTGGGGTCATGATGGTGAACAAGTGTGCAAAGTTTCAAAGCCATATGTCAATGGACTTTGAAAATATTTGAACTATTACAAAAACTTTAACGTAAATTCTAAGTCGAAAAAAGGGGCATAATTCTGTCAAAATGCTTGATAGAGTTACCTCCTCCTGTTTACAGGTTGGGGTCATGATGTTGAACAAGTGTGCAAAGTTTCAAAGCCATATGTCAATGGACTTTGAAAATATTTGAACTATTACAAAAACTTTAACGTAAATTCTAAGTCGAAAAAGGGGCATAATTCTGTCAAAATGCTTAATAGAGTTACCTCCTGCTGTCTACAGGTTGGGGTCATGATGTTTGAACAAGTGTGCAAAGTTTCAAAGCCATATGTCTATGGACTTTGAAAATATTTGAACTATTACAAAAACTTTAACGGAAATTCTAAGTCGAAAAAGGGGCATAATTCTGTCAAAATGCTTGATAGAGTTACCTCCTCCTGTCTACAGGTTGGGGTCATGATGGTGAACAAGTGTGCAAAGTTTCAAAGCCATATGTCAATGGACTTTGAAAATATTTGAACTATTACAAAAACTTTAACGTAAATTCTAAGTCGAAAAAGGGGCATAATTCTGTCAAAATACTTGATAGAGTTACCTCCTCCTGTCTACAGGTTGGGGTCATGATGGTGAACAAGTGTGCAAAGTTTCAAAGCCATATGTCAATGGACTTTGAAAATATTTGAACTATTACAAAAACTTTAAAGTAAATTCTAAGTCGAAAAAGGGGCATAATTCTGTCAAAATGCTTGATAGAGTTACCTCCTCCTGTCTACAGGTTGGGGTCATGATGGTGAACAAGTGTGCAAAGTTTCAAAGCCATATGTCAATGGACTTTGAAAATATTTGAACTATTACAAAAACTTTAACATAAGTGGTTACGCCGACGCCGACGCTCGGGTGACTGCAATAGCTCTACTTATTCTTATCGAATAGTCGAGCTAAAAATCATTCTGGATAAAGGAAGGGAGCGATTGATCTGAAACTTCGCACACAAGTTATTGGTTTAGAGCTAATTAATCTCATAAAATTATTTTGTGAGCCCCGACATGGCAAAAAACCTCAGTGCAGTCCCTTTAACGTACACATAGAAGAAAACAAGATGTTTCAATAATAAACTGCCATTAAGTCAGCTTTTAAAACAAACAAGTACTTGCGTACTATGATGACACATGCATGGATTCTATGTTTAATTCGTATTCATTTGCCCCATTAAGGCACAAAAGTAACATTTGCTATCAAGTAATGGACCACCAGTCATGGCCTAAAAGGTTAATTTAGAAGCCTGAAGTGGTGATAATGTACCTCAGTGATATTTCCACAGAGCATTAGCCAAAGAAATTAATTTTGAGCCAGAAAGTAGATCACTGTACAGAGGCCAATGAGTCATAGAAGGTTTATTAACCTGAGACAATAATGAAGATGGTAGACCTAAGTAGGGGTATTGGTCCCAAGCGAAGGGCTGCCTTTTCAAAATGTCACTTTGTAGTGTACTAAGGACTCGGCTGTGCGGTATGACCTGGCCATATACTGGTGGGAACCAAAGTTTAATTTTAATATTGAAATCCGTTAAACTTTAAATTTACAGTTCCAATTTCAAAGCTGGACAAATCCATTACACAATTTTGACAGATAAAGGGATAAAAAAAATTATGGAAAAAATTAAACTTACTTCTCAGCTTCTACATCTGACTGCCTGCCCACCCCATATCCCTGGAAGTATGCCCGACCTAGATTGAACTGGGCAGCACCGATCAAATGTTTGACACGTTTATCATCGGACAATGCTATCTTCCTCATGTATTCAACAGCTTTTTTCTGTAAACATTGATAATTGTACACAATAAATTACATGTCTCTTGCATGGTTTTACAATACAATTCATATACAGTCAACCCTGTAATGAAAGACCACCTACAAACCAAACATCTTGCTCTGAAGGCCACCATTTTTATGTAGCCATTTGAAAAATAACAGTATAAAATGATCTCCCATAAGAGACTGCCTTGGGACAAATACATGTTTTTCCCAATTCTAGTGATGGTCTTTTAATACAAGTTAGACTGTACATGATTGTAATATTATGTTCTGTTTAAAGCATGCAAATACTAATATAATTATACTAAAAATAGTGCACCTTATTATTTTAAGAATCAAAAAGCATTAAATAATTATGCTATGAATAAATGCTATGAAAAATGCTATGAATAAATGCTAGGAAAATAAAATCCTATAATTGTATAAAACTAAAATTCACAAAATGCTTCTTTTTCAAAATAGTTATTTGAAATATTTAAAGCTACTCTAGAATAAAGGCAAGCTCTTCAAAAAAAAATAAAGAAAATAACTCTCTCTCCCAATAAAAATCAAACTTCATCTATAAGATTTCAAAACAAAACATCTGAGTTTGGCTGGGCTTTAAGGGGCGGTCACACCAATGCAATATTTAAGATTAAGTCCAGCTTCACTTGTGCCTGATTTAGTTCTCAAGTGAACCCCTCTGTGTATTAGTTTCAGACTCAAGTCTGAAAGCACCTGACTAAAATCTCTGACCTTCTGTAAGCTAGGAAGATAGCTTTTTAACATGTCAGAATTAATTTAAAAATGAGTAATTATCAAATGATTAAAAACACCATCAATTTACACCTCAGTTTTAAAAGCAGGATAAAAATTTTAAAAGAACTTCATTTTTATTTCACAAGTATGCAGATGATATTTTACTTAGAAAACATACATATTGTAAAGCTTCAAGGAAAGTCATGGAATAAAAAAGAGAAAAACATTTTAATAATAATCATTTCATACATGTACATTCATGTCTATGTATTTTAGTAATAAAATAGGAAAAAAGCATTTCCTATTTCTTATCAATAGTAAAAAAAGATTATACATGTATTGTAATTTTTATCAAACCATGATATTTCTATAATATATGACAATATTAAAATTTATCTTTAAAATATCACTGCAACATATTTCATAGGCAATTAACTTTGTCACAATACACCAATTTATAACATGTTCACAATATAATACCCAAATAAAAGATGTCAATCAAAACTAGATTTAAAGTCATTTTAATGGCCAAAATATCTTGGCATGCCATTGAAAATATCTAAAATCACGATCAGTTTGTCATAATCGAACAAAGGAAACTTGATTAATTTTAAAAGATCAGAATATGTTCATTAAAACGCTAAACCAGCACTTTGAAAATCAATAAAGGACGATACAAAATGGATTTTATCAAATTTTCGTCCTTAAATTAAATAAAGACTGTTATATCTTGCTCTATAGGTCTACTTAGATATGACAGTATTGATTCAAACTTAGTTAATTCCCATGATGCTTTGTAAAATATATAAGGGTCTTGAAATTTGAAATATCTTTAACAAAATGGTCTATTTAAATTTTTGTTAAAAATGCAGTCCGATATTAATTTTTCAAACATGTCAAAAAATTTCAATCATATGCTTATAAAAGGTATCTGTAAACTATTTATTACCTTTAAATATAAGAGTGGCATTTTATTAAGAAAGTCAAAACATTGATTGATGCGTAAATAATATATAAATGACAATACATAAATGAGACAACTTTTCGTATCAGGGTCTGAGAGTTTGCATCTTAAAAAATGTACCACACAATTTAACAAACTGTTTGCTTGCTAAGTAATGCAAGTAAATCAAAATTTTATTCCTTGTGTTTCTAATGAAAATAGTGCTCTGAAAAGCTTATATATTATTAGTTATAAAGATTTGTGACAGGTTATATGACCCACTATATATAAACGGTTGTTTGGAAATAAAATCCCAGCCACTAGCCATAGGTTATATTACAAACAACTGTTTAAATACAGCCAATTAACATGTCAGAAATATTTATAACCAATTCATAATGCAGCAAATTAATTAACTTCATTTTTTCTTTAAAAAGTGAGATTTCTTAATAAACTGACTGACTGCAGCATCCGTGTATATAAAACTATATAAACATCACAATTATCCAATGAAAAACGACATTACAACCGTGCTGTTTTATATTAGTTTAAATACAATAATACTACATGTATTATATATAATCTGCAACATGATAAATTTTAGTGAAAATGATAAATAATCGTGAATCCTATAAAGCATTCTGAATTAGAAGCGTAAACTATCATCTTCTAGTAAAAGAAGCCATCTTTTAGGAGGCGAAAAATCTATTTTACATGGAAATAGCTGTCAAGCATGGTTAGTACCGTAATAACGTGACAAAAATGAGCCGTGTCATGACAAAACCAACATTATGCATTTGCAACCAGCATGGATCCAGACCAGCCTGAGCCTCCGCGCAGTCTGATCAGGATCCATGCTGTTCGCTATCAGTTTCTCTACTTGTAATAGGGTTTGTAAGCGAACAGCATGGATCCTGATCAGACTGTGCAGATGCGCAGGCTGGTCTGGATCCATGCTGGTCGCAAACGCTCTATGTTGATTTTGTCATGGCACAGCTCAACTTTTATGTCTTTTTCACCTTAAAAATGTGAAAGCTTATCTCATAGTTATAAATGTGATCTAAAGGTTAGTGGCCGAAGTGAAAACATTTTTGCCATGTTCAACATTCATGTTACACAGATAAGAAAATATCATATACATTTTCTGATGACTTTTTTAAAAAAATATTCCTTAATTTCTCAATGTATAAGTTACAGCAATAATATATACTTGTTTGAAAAATGTTCAAGATTTAAACAGCGTATGATTTGATTTCAAAACATTTTCTTCATTTTCCTTTTTTAATTTAAGTCAAATTGACATGGAAGAGGTCACCTCCTGTCAAAGTATTTTCTGTTACAACTGTACAACATAGGGTCTTACTTTCCAGCTGTATTGGACAAAGTAGACATCAGGTGCTTTCGAGTGAATTATTTCAGGAACACGAGTAGAACCACTAACCTGTGCTCCTGCTGAATTAGCCTTCTCACATGAAAATTCAGACGTCCACAAAGGGATTTCTACCAACAGTGGTTATTCAAAGCAAGAGACCTTATACACTTTACCATTAAGGCCCTATGATAATGTTTAACATGTCCTTAACCTAAACTGGCATATTCTATGCTACATGTAGCTTTAAATGCAAAATAATATTTCTATACACAAAGCATTTTACATAAGCATAATTATATTCTATACAAGCATTACATCTAGAAATGATTTATAATCAACAAGGCTTGAAAAATACAAAATATGTTAGTGCATATTTACACATGTACCTTTAATTGAAATAATGTGACACAATTTACATGTATTATGTTTATATTCACACAAACATGCATTTAATTATACCTTTTTTTGCAGTACCAATTTACATGATTTATTCCCAAATATATGTATATTTCAAAGTTGAAATGCACTTATTTTTAATAACTCTACATTGTATATATCTAAAGTATTTTAAAAGCCTTGCTTAAACTCTGTAAAATCACTTAAATTTGAGTCCATCAATTTATTTTTAGCAATTACGTCAAGTTAATCTAGTATGTTTTTTAATTCTTATCTTTTCTTCTCAACTTTGAAATGTCATCAAATTAAACCTTTAAGCACAAGCTGTAATAATGGAATGCCTATGACAACAGTAAAGAGCCACCAGGCGCAGCCAGCACATCCGTGTCAGTCTGAAATTTTAGACTCTTTATACTGCTGTGTGCTCAAACTTTAGCTATAATATTCAGATATATTATTTTAAAATCCCTGAAAAATGATAATTAACAATTACAAGTTCAAAAGCAACTGGTAAGCTCATTATGCAAATTTTACTCTCTTTTTTTCATACACACTCAAGTGATTTTACAGTTAAGTCATTATTATGTTGCCACAGTTCAAGAATATTGAAACTGCAAAAGAAAAACTTGAGAATATTGGTAACACCATTGGATGTTCCCTATCCGTTGATACTGCTTTGACAAAAATACTAATACGACCTTTTTTGTGAGCAAAAGTATGAAAATTCTATTTTTAGCCTAAGTGACCTTGACCTTACACACCAAGTATCCAAGGTATCAGTCAATAAATGAAGGTGATATAAGAACCTGTTTAGAGAGACTGAAGGGCTAAAGGAAAGAAGAACTTACTAGCAACTACATGTATCATGTACTGGTCATCGAAAAAAAAATTGATAAGAGCTTTAAACAGCAGGTACAACACCTTGCACCGTGGCAACAAATAAACGTTATTCTCTACTCTAGAAGAAATAACAAAAATTCTGGTAAGTAAAAAAATAAGCTGTGAAATGAAGAAACAATATAAACTATGTGGTCAACATTCAGTTCCTGCTACCTTTCGAGTTGCCGTCTTCCTAATCTAAAAATGAACACATTAATTCTACATAAATAAACATTTCTTTTTTTCACAAGACTCAACTTTACTAAATTTGGTTATTAAAACGGGTAATTTGACTGCATAAAGTCTTGATCAATTTTATCAGTAAAGCATATGTCATATTTATATTGAAAATATGTTATAGGTTAAATATAGTTGGTGTACTTTAGAGCTTATGTCTTCAGATTTTGCTTATATATTGGCATGTAACATAATGAAAAAAAATCAGCTGCCTGACCAGGTTTCAAACCCAGGGCCTTTAGAATAGGGTACTTCACCCCTACAAATTATGCTTCACTGGAGGTTTATAAGTTAATAATTTTAGGCCACGAGTTGTACAACTGTTAACTAACAGGAGACACAGAAAATTATACATATCTCAAATAAATTCAAAATATATGAAAAATAAATGAAATTTAAAATGAATGACTTTTCTTCTTTCAGCCTTACAAGAAAAAAATCAGGACTAAAATATCAATTTAAATTCAGGCTTTATAACCCTATACATGCTTAATTTCTTTAATTGGAAAGTTCGACTTCAATGTTTTTGAAACTATCCATTATCTATTTTGGGTATATCAAGATGAAAATTTAAAGCATGTCAGTCTACAGTGTAGAGCCTGCTCAGCCTACATCAATGTGCAGGCTGGCCTGGCTCTATACTGGTGGCATAGACTAATCACTTTTTTAGACCCAGCAGTTTCAGGGTTAAGCTACATTCCATATCTACCCTTACTATACAAATTACCTTAGCATCCAATTCTATTGTGGCAAAACTCTAAAATACACATGCAAAACATGCAAAAAGCAAATACCATAGGTTAAGATTGCAAATAATGTATATTTATGCAACTAAAATTTAAAAAAAAAGTATAATAATTTACTACCAACTTAAAATTAAGTATATGATAAGCATTAAAATATATGGGTATCTAAATACAAAATTTATACTATTTAATATTGAAGCCATTAGATCAGATATGTAAAACTAAATCTGAAAATAATTTGGCAAAGCATGACCAAGCATTATATTTATTCAAACCAATAAACTTTATTTATTTTGCAAATATGGTACTTTTCAAGTGACGAGGGTAAACAAATCCAAATACACACACTTTATAAAGACAGCAATAGAGAGAACACAAAAATGTTAGAGTTTAAAGTTCTAAAATTTTACAAAACTAATTAACTGTTGTATTTTGTTCATTCCATTATAATATTATTTTTTTCTATTAATTGAAGTCACAGTTTTGTTTTGAGAAAATTAGATGATATATATGGACCAAAGTGATTTTGCGACAACTTTTGGCACAACCTTTTTGTATTTTGTATATAAATGTATAAGAAATATTTGATGAACATTGTATGTATAGCATATTCAATATAATATTTTAAACAACTGTTTTCTAATGATATACTCTAAAGCTTATAATTAGCAAATAAATTGACTTCATATCATCTAAGTAAATTGTTAAAAAAAAATCTTAAGCACAAAATGTACATTAAACTACTCTTTTTTCTTTTTTTACAACATGAAAACTATGAAAATATTTCATTTATGTAAGCTCCAAATACTATGCCTAGAAGTCAATTAAATAAAAAATCTCCTGAATTAAAAATATTGAATATGAGCCATGCAATACCATAGCATATATGTTAAAATAATGTATATGAAATTTCATATTCCACACCTGAATCTTCTGTAGTAATCCATAAACCAAAAGATTTTTCAACATTACTGAGTGAAAAGTTTTTTTAGCACATGTTGCCATTTTTTATAATTCTATAGCCCTGCCACACTCGCAGTCCATAATTTTGCTTCAATGCATTCTGATATACTGTATAAACTGATGATTTAATGGTGTTATATGTAAAACTCCTGATTTATTCAAATATTTGACACCTTAAAGATTTGACACCCTAGATATCATAGTATGTACGCTTTACAGCTAAATCACTCAAACTGTATACTGACTGTTTTTAGTCAAAATATCAAGTGACTTCTTAAGCAGATTCCGATGTATGTATTTTTGTTATGGGATAGATTCCAATTGTTATTATTTGGGAAGATATTGCCCATACAAAAAAGAACAGTAACAATACATCTAAACAACTTTAGTACATCTAGTTTAACAATTCCAACAGCAATATCAACAAATATTTTTTCACTTACCGTGTCTGATTTACAGCCAACGCCATCATACAGCATCACGCTCAACATGTACAGGGACTGAAAATCGAAATCCTTAGACCGCTCAAAATACACTATCGCCTTTTCATAAACTCCCTGAAAACAAGACAAAAATCAGCACATCAATTTGTATAATTCATGTAAAATTCTCAACTTCTTGGACTCTTTCATGGCACGAAAGATGATCAAAAGTCTCTAGAGGGATTCAAACCCAAAGCTAAAAAAGGCAAACGATTCAAAGTTATATGAACACTGAGTTCTAAATAAAGCACATCAAATTTGTTCAGTTTAATTTGTTAATAAACAAAAGACCATTGACAGTTGAACTGCTGAACTCATCTATACATAAAAGAGAACAGTATCTCCAACTAAACTGAATATTCTATCTTAAAAAATTTGCTCAAACTAACCTGTTCATAATAAAAGAGTCCTAATTGAAAGAATGCTTGCTTTTGTCCTTCCTTGATTTTCTCTAGAAGGATATTCTCCACCTTTTCCATGAGCTCATCTTCGGACAGGCATCCATACCCAGGAGCATCTTTAGTTTCTTGTGCTATATCATTCAGGATATTCTTCTCCTTAGCAAAGGTGATATTTTCAGCTGACAGGTCCTTGGGTATCTCCATACTGCCTGCTGAACATACAAAATGTGAATATTAAGTTTTAACTAATGTGTTACCAGGAAATTTTTGCTCTGAAATATGAAGGGGCCTGGACCTTTTCTATCTTAAATGCATTTTTTTTTTATATATTAACTTATTCCGGAAAACAACACCATTCCCAAGAGAATAAAGACAGCAAATTTCCCAATTCATGACTGATAAATTCCCATAATAACACTAAGAAATTCCTCAAAATAGTGGTGAATTTAAAGGTAAACAAAAACAGTAATGGATGTTTCTAAAAAAACCAAGATAATCACATGAGTGATATTCATACCCAGTTCATTTTTTAATTTAGTGTTTCACACCTAAACATTATATGATGATGTACAATTGTTATCATTTTTTTTCAATCTCAAGTTAAAATTAATAATATATATATATATCGTTTTAAAGTTTATATTATGCATAATTCACATGTCTCCTTGGATAAAAGAATTTCCCCTGAGTAATATTTGGCACCTCAGGCATTGAAAATTCCACTTGTTTTTACTAGTAGAGATCGATGCAGGACAAGAACAAAATGGTAGAATGCTCATCAGGCAGGACGAGCGAAAATTTGCCGATGTAATAGAAAGCTTGAATTCTCATAATCGGTTTGTTTACTTTTAATGCTGGAAAATCAGAAACAAAGCTTTGTGTTTTAGGTTATGTATAAGTTGCGCATATTACCCATTGTTAATTGGGAGTAACTGGTATGTGCCTGGCAATGCTCTAAAATTAGAAAGTGCGAGATTTATACATAACCTAAAAACACAAGCTTTATTTTCAGTTTTGGTTTGTTAAATTTGTGTTAACAAACTGTTTATGAAAATTTCTAGGGTCGATTGTATCTGGGAAATTTATTTTGAAAATCATGCCTAAATGCAGGATGAGTAGAATGCCATGCAGGACGAGTAGAAATTTGAAGCTACTCGTCCATAGGACGAGCGTCTTTAAAAAAAACTTTTGATATCTGCATCTGATTTAAAATTCTCAATTTGAGTCAAACCGATGCATTTTCCCCAATCTGTCTGGTACCGGCACCATTCCAAAAGTAGGGCTGCAGGGGTTCCACTAGCCATGGAATTCCAAGGGTCATTTTGACCAGTATGGACTAAGTTTTGCCAGTGACATAGATAATCTATTAGTCTGCTTTTGCCAAATACAAGGCAAACCCACGATTTTAACAAAATTTGAGCCTCCAGTTAAAATCTTGTGGGTCAAATCAGGCCTTTAAAAAAATTTGAAATCAAGGGTCAAATGGACGAATTAGAATAGTGAAGTTTTAGCCTTATTTTCCTTAAACCTGTGAGAAAAAGTGTGGGATTGACACACTTTGTGAAATTCAATTTACAATAAACATTTTGCATAAAGTGATAAATAACCTTCCAACATTTAGAAAACATAAACGATTATCAATCGACATTGACCAGTAATTTAACTATAAAGTATTAAATTTCTATTACGAAAGTGCAATTCGTATTTATGAAATATTTCAATGTGTTAGATCAGCATAATTTCTCTTGTATCCGAAATTATGATCTGTCCGATAACATTACACATCATGAAATTAAATTACTATTTAAAACAATAACAATAATTTAAGTAACAATGCATATTAGTAAATAGCAACCTTTTGTCGTTATAACCAACGGCAAAATCCTATTTCACTTCTTGGTTCACCCAGAATTTACATTTTTGCTGTAGCCAATTTTGAGATTAATTACACTGTACCATGGCTACATGGGTCACGACCTTAAAGGTAATGTAAAAAATCAGAACGTGCATAAGTGGAATCGTTCTCGTCTAGAGACTGCATGTGTATTATGTACGCGTTTAATTAATATTACTTTAATACATGGTCGTTCAAATAGAATGTGAAAGAACCTGATTAATAATACGAGTCTTATTTTTTCAGCGAGAAAGACACTGCAAAATGTATGATATTTATATTAAATACAGAATTTTTAAACATGTGAATGACTTAAAATTTCATTTGAGTCTTAAATGGACTTCACGACAAGACGGGACAGTAAATACTTTTTTTCGATATTAAAGTTCCATTTGATGTAGCTTTAAATTAATAACTTGTATGGAAATTTTCGCATTAATCACCCATTCTGATTTTTCCATAAAAAAAATCTAATTGTAAAAAATGAGCCAAAATAGAAATGCGTTGCAACGTTTTTCACCCAGTTCAGTGTCTTTCAAAATTTCTATTTGAACAGGTACGTATATTAATATACGTACCTGATTTGACAGACCTTGCTCAAATCGAACTAAGAATAGCGCAAAAATACCATTTGCAATTTATTTTTGAGTGTATTTCTTAATTATATGTTTTTACTTTCAGATCTGTTATATATATGTTAGTAAATATGTTTTATGCCTTTGTTATTGTCGGTAAATAGCTTATTACCTAATGTTTCTTGTAATATGTAAACCGACTTAAAATAAAGTTTCTTGTATCTTGTAATTATCGTTTGTATCGTTATTCTGTTTTAAGTGTCCCTGTTAATCCATGTTAGAAATTCAAATTTATTCTATTAGCCTTTTCACGGATATATATACAATGTATATTTAGCTCCATGGCCTTTGGACCTCGATGGAGATATCAGTTTGTCATACACCAAAACCAGTTCGAAATGAAATTAATTAAGTACAACAACTCCACTTGTTACCGTGTCTTACTTTGACAATTTCTTTCCTTTTTTATGTTAATAATCTTACTTTTAATTGTATACTTATTATGTGGAGGCCGATATATACGTCTTTTCATGGCAGCATGTTCTTCAAGATTTAGTAGGCCTATACAGTACTTTTAGAGTGATTCGTACGAACAAACTGGCCAATTACGGAAGGCGATTTTCACCAATATATTATATGCAGTTTGCACCTCATAGCAACGAATTTAGTAGAATACAAGATTTAAAATGGAATGTGGTACAGTAAGAATTTACAGCAGTGATGTAAAGTATCCAGCTGCCACAAGGCAAAAGAGGCCGAACAGACAGATATAGCTCTAAAAGGGTGTCTTTACCGCTTGAAAATTAAACAAACCAAAGAGACATAATGTATTTTGAAGAACATGTAATTAAGTCATACTTGTATACACCAAAATGTTGAGTTGCATTGAGCGGTCCTTTTTTTACCAGATATTTCATTAAAAAGATCTGTTTGCGTGCTTGCATGAGGATACATGAACTTATTGTGACTTCAACACGCGGTTTGTACAAAACATGCTGTTGGGCCTTGTTGCAATAATTATTATATAATTGGTTTCAGTGAGCATTGCTCGAGAGAACAGTTCATGAAGTGACCCGTGTTTTCACACACACGCACACACACACACGCGCACGCGCACACGCGCACGTGCACACACACGCGCACGTGCACACACACGCACGCACGCACGCACACACACACACACACACACACAGGAACGGTTCGTCTCGGAGTATATTGTAACACGTTAATTAACATGTGTTTGTTTTAATGAACGATACAGTGTTTTATCTTTACAAAAAAATTAATGCCCTCTTTTCGAAACTATATGTTCGTGAAAGGATGTTGAAGGATTCATGTAGTCTTATCAGTTGTTAGATAAGTATTCAACAAAAATTATTGTAAATTTCATTTCGTGATTTCCTGACGGCAATGGGCTCTACAGTTTCTAGCATGGTTTTCACGTAATATTTTTCTGGGAAGTTGTATGTGCATGGATACATATTTGATTGAGTGGCTTGTTTTAATGTCACATCTGATTTAATATTTTCCATATCAAGTTTCGTAAATTATTCTATACACTAATGTCTTTTCACAATATGTGTTATTTTTCTTCGAAATTTGTCTCGAAGAATATTTTAGAAAACGTAAATAAACAATCAGTGTTTGCCCGTAGACAGGGTGTCACATTTCCTTTTAGCTATGACATTTCACTTCACAGCCGTGGCACATTATAAATGTCTTGTGTGACAGTAAAATGTCTTCAGCTAAAAGCTTCCGGCGGTTTTTAGATTCCACAAATAAACACTTTTGGATGAAAACGTTTCAGTAAGATGTGGAATGTTTTTATTGAATATATATGCAAACAAAATGCAAACAAGAGTGAAAATGAATTTAGCACCAACAACACATTCCTTACTTTAAGTTATAACTTTATTTTGCGTTCATGATTGCGTTCAAGTATGTAAACTGGTTTGGGACCAGTGTACAAAACGACAAAAGTTACGCTCTTGGTGCCTGAAATTACAATTGGTTTAGGTTTCTTGTAATGATTTAAATTTATTTCGATTGTATTTGAAACTATGAGCTTATTGAAACAGTCTCTTATCCTTTCTGGCCCAAAACAGTACCAAACAATGAGCGTAAAGCCTTTTGCTCATGGAAACGATAGCTTACACCTGACGGGGGTTAAACCCACGCGGCCAGCAATCCTAAGATTACTGTTTCGACGTGTAAACCAATCAGCCAGGCCGCACCAAGTAATAAGGTAATAAGTTGAAAAGGCATTGGTTTCCCTGAACAGTTTGATGATACATATGAAGAGAAAATTGACGATGAAGGCGATGATGCCAATTTGGTAATAATAATAATAATAATAATAATAATAATAATAACAATAACAATAACAATAACAATAATAATAATAATCACGATGATGATGCTGATGCTGCTGCTGCTGATGATGATGCAAGAATGTACCTGTACAACAACTTCTGCTTTAGCCGGTGCCATATGGCAAGGGCGGTATATACCTGACATTGACCATTGCTGTCCACAAACAGACTCACTCATCCCGAACATGCAACTCTTGCTGTTTTGGAAAGACCTTTTAATGGCTTACAGTGCTATCGTCCTAAATAATTCTGGTTGTATAATAATTTATTATAATGTAATTGAATTATGTGCCCACATCACGTCCAAGCGTAAATGTATTGTTTCCCCTATCTGATGACTTAAGTGTACAAACATTGCTATATTGGCTATTTAAGAGCCGGGTAAACTGTATTACAAAGTAAATAGGACACAGGAAACACATTATTTGAACATGTAAAGAAACATTCATTTACAAAGAACATTGCAAGACACTAACAGGAAGAACGAAAATGTTGATTAACATGTATTTTTTTCAATTAACTTGTTAATGTTTTTCTCCCGGAGATTCATGGCATACATAAATAAATGAATTATCCAATTTTTTTTTCCCGACGTTTGTTGGTGATAACTGTCAAACAAGGCATTGGCTGTCAAAAATCGAATATCGAACTGAAGACCTACACTTTTAGATATAATACATGTAGTTAATTCCATGAAAAATGGATACACCTGATTTATTCCTGTGTTACAAGTACTAAGAAGGTCTTTGACAATTTTAATCATAATGGCGCCATCAAACCATAAAAATTTTATTCAATTTTGACATTAAGATCCACGCTTACTGGGGTCTTAACTGAAAACAGAAGCCTTTTATGAATTTCAATAAGGATAAAAACTTTGGATTCGAAAATATTTGACAGGGATTACATGATAGCTTTCTGCAGATGTGATTAAATTTGTACTAGAATGAAGGTCACGATTTCTAGGATGTACTCCAACAACTAAAAATAACGTTTGTACAAGATGTACCGTACAACAAAACATAAGGTATGTAATAGGGTAATGGAACACTGACGGTGGACAAAAAAGCGTCCTTACTTAACACTTACTTTTGAAATAACATTTCTTATTGACATTATATTTTCTCACGAACCTCTCAATACTTAACATAGATTTACAATTTTATTTTACACCTTACAGATATAACCAATGAACTTATAGTATTTGCACCAAGTGATCTCAAAATATAAATCAGTAAGCAATTTAGCGCCGGGTCCGCATAATGTTCTTTTCAAATTTCTATTTTATTCGATCTAACTTCGTTTTCATTTTCCGAGCAAAACCCATTTAAAATCACTATTGTACTCTGTTTAACCTACTACGAAATTTTCAGAGTTTAAAGATACACATTTAATCGTATTGTATCTGAATTAACAAAGGTTCATGTATGTCAAATTCTGAAAGATTATGGCGTGATATGAAAAGGTGATTATACATTGTTGTTGAATAAATACTGATTCTTTAAATCTTGTACAAATGGTTTGTTTTCATGTCAAATCTGATTTAATATTTTCAATATCAGGTTTTGTTATCTTTTTTTAACCCATTACTTCATGAGCATTTTGTGAAAAATGGCTGTTTTCATTGAAAAGTCTCCCGTTACAAGTTCAAATTGCTACAATACTATAAAAACTGCTTCAACACTAATCAAACTTGGCACAAATGTTGACTGGACCATTGCCCTTGCAACAACATGCTCAGGCTTAAATTTTCTGTTACCATGGCAACGAGGGGACATCTCAAAATTGCCAAAAATCACTATTTTGCGTTGATTTTTTCCATCAAAATTTACTTCAAAGTGCTGCAACTTCTCAATGGATTGAGATAGAGTCAAATGCTTTTCAGCGTTGGTTACACGTTACCTTATGATCAATCTGGGGTTATTTACAGCCTCTCACAAGTCCAAAATTTTCTTGGCGATGAGGGGGACTCCGCCCCCCTTTAAATCCCCCAAACAGAAGGGGGCACATCCCCCTTCTGGCAACCCCCTGATGTATCTTTTGGTTGGGGGGCCGCGCCGAAAAAGAGGTCACTTTTTTTAACAACATTTCTCAAACAAAAACAAGTGTTTGGGGCCTAAAAAAGGCATTTTTTCATCATTTGAGACA